TTAAAAGACTTTAAAAAGTCACCAGTCTACAGTTAGGCAAACAATCTACAAATGGAGACACTTTGGGACAGTGGCTATTCTACCAAGAAGTGGGCGCCCAGTCAAAATGACCCCAAGAGCACAACGAAGACTCATCAATGAGGTAAAGAAACAACCTCAAGTGACAGCAAAAGATTTGAAGGCATCATTGGAACTGGATAACATCTATGTTCATGAGTCTACAGTATGTAAAACACTGAACAAGCAGGGTGTCTATGGCAGGACAGGTGGCTGTAGCTTACGAGGTAGGGCAGTCGTCTTCTGACCAGCAAGTTGGTGGTTTGCGACTGGCCAGTGTGCGGCAGCCGTCATCGTGTGTGTGAATGTGTGTGTGAATGGGTGAATGTGTATGATCTCCTGTAAAGCTTTGGCCAGTGTAACACACTGTGAAATCGTGAAAACATCCCAATCGTAAAGTATGGTGGAGGAAACATCATGATTTGCTGCATCAGGGCCTGGCCAGCTTGCAATCACTGAGGGGATGATGAATTCCCAAGTATATTAAAAGTCTTCAGGATAATGTGAGAATGTCTGTACATCAGCTGAAACTCTGTAGAAGTTGGGTGATGCAATAGGACAATGACCCAAAAAGCCAGAACAAGTCCACAACAGAATGGCTTCAGAAAATCTGCCTTTTGGAGTGGCCAAGTCAGAGCCCAGACCTCAACCCAATAGAGATGCTATGGAATGACTTGAAGAGAGCCATACACATGAGACATCCAAAGAACATGATGGAGTTCTGCCAGGAAGAATGGGCTAAAATTCCTCCTGAACAATTTGCAGGTCTGATCCACAGCTACAGGAAGCGCCTGGTTGAGGTTATTGCTGCCGGGGGAGGGGGGGGGTCAACCAGTTATTAATTCCAGGGCTTCACTTACTTTTTCCATTACCATTTTGAATGTTGAATGAGTGGGTTCAATAAAGACATGAAAGATCAGAATTTTTTGTGTTGTTTTTGTAGGCACATATTTGTCAATGACTTAGATGAAGATCAGATCACATTTTATGACAAATGGAGAAAACCATGTATTCCAAAAGGTTCACATACTTTTTCTTGCCACTTGTATGTAGTTTTTTTTTTCTCAAACTGCAAGTAGTAATTTCAAATAGCCAGTGATGCAGTGGTTCTCTGCAGCTAAAAGTCTGAAACAGTACCTGCCAGATTGAAAATGTCATGTTCTTTTGCACAAATGTGAAATGGGAAAAACAAAGGTTAAGGAGAGTGTTAAAAGCTGGCAAAGCACCCACATTTAAATGATGTGGTGGTCTTCCTTCTGGATGCATAAGCATCTAAAGTTGTGGTAACATTGGTGACCTAGCATTGTCATGATTTTACTGCTGTATTGAATTTATATGATTTTAATTTCAGAGTAATTGAATCCAAGTTTTGAACCACTACAGGAGCTTTGTGTAACATTAGTGATTTGTGTCACATTAGCAGTAACCAGAGTGTTCTACTGGACTGACAGATTTACCCTTTAGCCTAGCTTCAGACTGGAGGCTGCATTTTGTACAGTTTGTCAGAACCAGACATCTGTAGTTAATGTTGTCACTAGGAAACAGGAAGTAATGGTAGGGGCAAAAAGCAGTTAGGAGCGGCTTATGGCATCAGTTTATTTTGAGTGTAGTGTCTGAAAAGTAATTAGGTAAAGCAGCCTTAACTCAGCAAAATTTCTTCATCATCAGAACTTAAACCTGTGCCATGAGTCATATGACTGTGCTGTCACATATGTCTGTGACACGTCAGCTTGTTGGTGTTAATTATCATACAATCACATTGATCCAGTGAAAACGCAGCTCCCTGCTGTGTTTTCACACAAGGGACCGCATTGGTCGCTGGGTGAGGGGCCGCAGGAGGAGTGTCTCGTAGGCGTTTACAAGAAAACCACGTTATGACGAGTCACCATGCGTGGCTTCATTCATGTTTTCATGGGGTTGCGTCATTTTGCCTGAGGCCCCTGCGGTGCTGGTGCCAGCTGTGGTGAACCCAGTAGAAATGAATGTAGAGGGCTGCGTTTTTTTCACACCTTTGAAACTCAGTCCGAACACGGCCTTACGGTGGCAAGAAAAAGTAAGTGAGCCCTCTGGAATTGCCTTGGAACCCTTTGGAATTACTTGAATTTATGTGTAAATTTGTCATAGTTTTTTTTTCTTATCATAGTTACAATAATGAACAATCTAGTTTAACTAATACACAATTTATTATTGTCCATTATTGTTTTCACAGTGAACAGGCAAAAAAAAGATGTCCTTTAGAACGGTTAAACATGATCCGTAAAAACATGTCAGATTTCTGGTTCCTGCATCAAATCTGATTCATTCAAGCGTTCACAGTGTATGTAAACCCCTTGTCTAATGACATCAACAAAAGCTAACTGGAGTCAGGATTTAGCAAACCTGGAGTCCAGACACTTATACCAGACTGAAGTGTGAGTTAGAGCTACTTTGTACTTTGACTAAAATCACTCAAATACTCACTCATATACTGTACACATGTCATGGTGCATGTACGCATGCAGCATGGCCAAAGAGCACTTTGGCACACTGATGAAACTGATGTTGAAATGTTTGGAAAAAATGTAACACTGTGTATGGTGTAAAAGGAGATTTTATCCCAACATACCATCATGTCAACACAGAGAACATCCCTATGTCTGGTGTAGGAGCATCATGAAGTGTGCTTGTGTTGCTGCCTCTGGGCCTGGACAGCTGACCAACCCAGCAGAGCTCTGTAACACACTTTTTCTTGCCACTGTAGACTTATTTCATGCACATATGAAGTGGGTCTAGTCAATGTGTGTTGGATTTATGGACTAATGCTATAAACAGAGTATCTTGTTAGTTAGCAGAGGCTTTATGTCCCTTTGGCTGGTTAAATGGTGTTTAAACGTTGTTTTTTTTTTTTTTTTTTTTTTTTTTGCATCCCTGCTAGAAACACAGGTTCAGTAAAGCCAACCAGATTTCAATTCTGGGTGTAGGTAGGGGGTTGTAAAGGAGGGATGGCTGATGAACGATGTACCTGTTCAGATATACACTTCTTTATCTGTTCAGCTCATTGCGGCTGTTTTTCTTTCATAATTCTTCAATTATCCACTGAAAAAAGTGCCTTAATATCTTTATGTGGCCCAGTTTTTAAACCTCAAGGAGCCAGGAGCCAGTTATAAAGAGCATCATTTTATGACTTCAGCTTTAAGGTTTGTAGTGGACATCTGGCATATTATAATTTCCATGGAAAATGTTTGTCACGTGACTCTAAAAATGTGTTCAGCCTGTGTTCAGACTCAACTGAGTTATGGCTCCGAGAAGGAATATGATTTTTGATGCTAATTACAGCAATCAGGGACACTAAGGATGTTAAAGTACCTTAATTGCCTCCATGAGCTGTTGATAAATGGGCCAAATCAACCGACCTAACTACAAAAAGTAACTTCCTGTTTTTAGAGCCCCGGACTGCACCTGCTCCTTTCACTTCATGCTGTATCTTTTCCTCACATCTGTCCCTCAGCCCCTGCTGAAGAGACACAGAAGTTTGAAAACCCCTGATCCCCAGTAACAGGGATGCTGTTTCTGGAAAGTCAAGTTGCTGTAGATTTTTTTTAATGTAAATTCTAAATGCAATGAGGACCTGAAACAAGATTTCATTCACCTCCATATAGGCAGAAACCTCAGAGACCATGTTCCATTGTCCTGCAGCCGTGCACAGAGTATTTGCTTATACTAGATGGACTGATGGAATGGTGTTGTAAAAGTCCCTTTGTCATATTGATTTGGACCCCACCAATGGCCACTTGGGCTTTTTTTTCAGTGAGTTGAGTATAGAAAACTGGATAATGCCCATGGTGTATGCTGGCCATGTGTCCTGTGTGGCCTGGCTGCATCCATACTGGGCCCAGCAGATCAGAGAAGGAGAGCACATAATGGCTGTGGGGAGAGATTCATCCACCACCACTATCAGGTAGGATATACACTAAAATACAGACATATTCTTCTGCAAAACCATTAGAATTTAGCATTCATGACATGTAGGGATGCACATTTTCAGTTTTTTTTTCTTGACTGATAGCTGATGCCAGTAACTGTTAACTTGACAAGATTAAAATGCTAGGCTATTTAGAATGGATGACTGTTTGTGGCCCATTAAAAAAACTTTTTTCCATAAGGGGTTTATTTTTATATGTGCAAATATGGCATAAACAACAACAGACCTTGAACTTAACGTGAATCAGAATCATCTTTAATGGTCAAGTACATTTGAACGTACAAAGAATTTGACTCTGCTGCACAGTAAAAATAAAAATGAACAATGTATCCATTCAAATAGGAAATTGTGCAATCAAAAATAGGAAAAGAATGAGGGGAAAACAGAAAAAGTAATGGCTCTGTTTTCAATTTCCTGATGTTTCTGCATAAATTGGCCATGAAATGTGAGCTGGTCTTCACCAAAGTCACAATTATCAACAAGCACAATATTTTTAAGCTGATAAAACACAGTCAAAATCCTTCATGTCTTCATTGAGCATGCCCATTAAACATACAAAGTGATGCTGGAAAAAGTAATGGTAACTGTTTTCATGAGGTGGTTGAACCATATTTGGCAGCAATAACCTCAAGCAAGCATTTCCTGTTACTATGGATTAGACCTGCACAGCGTTCAGGGGGAATTTTGGACCAATCTTCCTACAGTGCTGCTTCAGCTCAGCATATTCTTATGACGTCTCTTGAGGTCATTCCACAGCATCTCTACTGGGTTGAGGTCCATACTCAGACTCCAAAAGGCAGATTTACTGTCTCCCAATCTATTTTGTAGTAGATTTACTTCAGTGTTTATGGTCATTGTCCTGCTGCATCAACCAGCTTGTACTGAGCTTCAGCTTGCAGACAGCCACCCTGACATTATCCTGTAGGATACCTGGATAAACTTGGGAATTCATTTTCCCTCCACAATGGCAAGCAGACCAGGTCCAGAAGCAGCAAACCAGCCCCACATCATGATACTCCCTCCATCATACTTCACAGTTGGGATGATGATTTCATGTTGGTACACAGTTCTCTTTTTATGCCATACGTAGTACTGTGTGTGCTTCCCAAATAATACCACCATTGTTTCATCTGTCCACAGGACATGTTCCCAGTAGTGTTGTAGAGTGTCAGGTTGGTCTTTGGCAAACTTCAGGCATGCTGCAATGTAGTTTCTGTAGAACAATGGCTTCCTCCGTGGTGTCCTGCCATGGATACCATGTCTGTCCAGTATTTTGCGTATGGTTGACTTGTGAACAGAGATGTTAACCAACTCCGATTAATCCTTCAAGTCTTTAGCTGTTACTCTAGGGTTCATTTTCACCCCATTGAGCATTCTGCATTGTGTATTTGGAGTCATTTGGAGCCAGTGATCTAGGCTGGGCGCCACTTGTATGGGGAGTAGCCACAGCACCAAATTGTCTCTATTTATAGACAGTATGTCTAACTGTGGATTGATGAATATCTAAAGTCTTTGAGATGACTATGTAACTTTTTCCAGCTAAATGCAAATCAACAGCTCCTGATCATAGGTGTTCTGAGACCTCTTTTTTGTGAGGCCTGGCTCACAGCTGATGTTACTTTTGACCAGCACACTGTTTGAGTGTGTTTTTGTAAGTCAAGATAGTTCTAAACCACACATCCATTTTTTTGTGTGCTAACACCTAACTCCAGTTGTCATTTAGTGACATCAGAAGCCTGGTGTTGCCATTGCTTTTTCCACCATCACTTTGTATGTTTAATGGGTGTGTTCTTGAAAGTCATGAAAGATAATGACTTTGTGTTTTATCAGCTTATAAATATTGTGCTTGATGAGATGTGTGACTTTGGTGAAGATCAGATCACATTTCATGACCAATTTATGCAGAAATACATGTACATATGGAAGTGTAGGACAGAAAAAGATGAGGATTGTTAAAATTTTATTGTTTTTCATTTTAATTTGTATTACTTTTTTCTGATTGGAATTGATATAACTAAATTGAATATAATTATTGATAATTTATGGCGACCTAAACTTGAATTTGTGCTGCTTCTGGGGGGCAGAGGTCTTCCAGACAAGACGCAGCACATCTCCAACCTATAGAGAGGGCAGAAAAGAGTGCTGGCAGTACTCCAAAGAGTAAAATGCAGAAATGCTGCCTACCTGCACATACCAGCCCACTTCCCACACTGAGATTAATGGCAACACACATTGAAATCTCCAGTGCCAAGAGCTCTGTAATGAAAACCTCCTCCTCTGCTCTTGGCTTAATAATCAAAACCCCACAACAGGTTAACAAAGCAGAACTTATTGCCTGCTGTTTTTTGTTCAGAAATAGCAACACATCAACGTGATGTGTGGTTAGTCTGTGAGAGCTGAGGTGGAGAATACCCAGTCCAAAGATAGGGCCTTACTAGTGGCCAGCCTAGGGAAGCCCGTCTTACTGTAGCTTATCTGATTAGCTTTCTGCCATGTTCCCCCATGAGTTGAAAGTTGGTCCTATAGCCTATTTTTCAGCAAACTGTTTAGAAATTTTTTTTAACCATTTAATTGATAGTATTAATCAGTTGTAATTCTTATTGCTGGTTAATGGTTAAACAGTTAAGTGTGCATCCCTAAAAACACGTTATTAACATAATCCTCATGACCTCTATGCCTTCTCCCCATCAGTGCCTTTATTTCTCTCTGTCTCTGTCCTCAACTTTCTTTGCAGGGTGACCAGCACAGACAACTATTTCCTCAGTGATGGTTTGTATGTTTGTGAGGAGCAGCTGGAGAACTCTAAACCTCTCAGACTGAACGTGCTCAAAGTCAATCCTGTCAAACCAAGACATGTTTCACTCACAGGTGGGTACTTGGGGTAGGTGGCCAGGAGATAAGGGGTGGGGGGTCTCCATTATTTGACCAGCAGGTGATCAAACTGGATCAATTTTCAAACATTTCCACTGGGTTTGACCAGTGATGCATTTGCATTCCTTTATGTAAATTCAGTGCCATCTACGTATTTTGTCCACCTGACACCCCTCATTTGTTTAGAGAAACACTGTGAGAACCTCAAGCTAAGAAGTGTTCTCTGGACAGAGAAATGTTCTGCGTCGCTGTAGCTTTTCTTTTTCTTTCAAAGGCACCCACTCTGGTCACTAGGAAAATGTGCTGCTTTTGGTGATTTAGAACTCACTTCAGTGTGAGGCGTCAACACTAACCGCCACCTGGTGTTATTACGTATGTCTTATAATCTTTGAATGATCTTTGTCAGTTTGTTTGACTTGTTTTTGGGTTGTCCCTCCATCCCATTCTCATGAACCTGATATCTCAGAAACACCTTGAGAGATTTTCTTCAAATTTGGAACAAACATCCACTTGGACTCAAGGATAAACTGAATAGATTTGGCCAGTCACCTCATGTCTGACTGGTTGGTGGAGGCATACAACCGCAAAGCAGTAATTCCAGTTTTACTTCAAATATGATTTACAGTGTAACCAAATACAGTAATTCATATTCATTTAAAAGGTAGTGTTTTGAATGATTTTTATTATTCAGGGGTTTTTGGGGTCGGGTGTGCCCCCTGTAGTTACCCATATATATATAATATCACAAATACTACTGTATTATTTATCAGTTTTTTATATTCTGTTTAATTAGTTTTTTTACTTGTGATATAGTTATTTTCTTTCTTTTACCATCTGTGTTCTTTATCTCACTCTTTTATCCAGTGGTTTTTATATAATCTGTTTTATTTACAATTCACTGAGGGGGATGGACAAATTCTCATCTTACACAGTCTTATGCTGCTTCATCTGACATTTCATTTCAGAAAGAAAAACTGAGGAGGACACAGAGAGGTGGTCTGCCAAGAGACCCCGGACAGAGTGCCATCAGTCTGGGGAACCCAGCTCTGAGCGTCACTTCGTAGCCACTGACACACTACAGCCTGCAGAGGGCAGCAACATCAAAGATGAAAAGGGCTGTGATTCTTCAGACTTGGGAGTTGATGATGATGATGAAGATGAAGGAGCGACCAGTTACATTGTTAAGAGATTGTGTGCTTTTCTGTTTGAGACAGAGCCATATATCTTGGACATTGATTTGGATTTCTTCTCATGTAAGAATCCCTTCAAGGAATTATACACAGAGGTATATCATATTAACACAGCAGCTTCTTTTCAAATATCTACAAATACAGTGAGCTTTTGACCTAGTTTATTTTTACAAATGTTTTAATTATCGTCTGTGATGAGAACAGTTTTCTGAAGACCTTATGAAAAAAAGATTTAAACTTCTTTAAAAACAGGAAGTTACAGCTCAAACTTTGGAATGATCTCTGGCCTGTTTCTACAGGAAATAAATCACCTTCAGAAAATAAATAGAGTCCATGGAGTTTTAAAGGAACAATCCTTTATCCAGACAGAAACAAATGGGTTGCTACCAGAAAAATTAGAAACACAGGGCTGAAACCTGATACAGTATCACCCTCAAAGCAATGGACAAGTCTTAGAGACATTTATAGGTAATGAATGAGTCTAAGGATTTATTGTGTTCTGATCCCTAAACCCCTCCTCTCTACGTGCTCCTCTCTAAGACTAAAGTAGGCTTCTATGTTCAGTTATGGTCTGTTCTTTATTCTTAAGTTATGTGTCCATGGATATAAGATTTAGATATGAAAATATACAAAATTTTAATGATAAAACTTTTTTTTTAAATATAACCCCTACCTCCAAAAAACTAAGAAAGTCCTAAAACAGACATTATAGCCTGAACCACCATAAATGGGCCAGTTTACTTTATTAGTCAGTCTGCACAAGGAAAAACTGTAGATAATGTAACACAAAATGTTTCTTTAATTGAATTCAACTCCATGTTGTCTTTGTGTCAAGGAAGAGTATGCCATCCTTAAGGAGCTCTACAACTTCAGGGGACCCAGCCCTGATGCCGATGAGGTCAGACTTTTTTGTTTATAAATGGTTTTCACAACGGACTACACTTGGTCCACCTCCACTAACCACCCTTTTATACACACACAGAGTACTACTAGAGACACATAAATCACCTGGTGGTGTTGAACATGTGAGCAAATGCTGATGTATCTATGTGTGTAGTGTGCACATACAGAATAAAACAAAATGGATTACACCCTGGTGCGTTATCACTCAAATGTTAAATGGCTCAAAATTGTAATATCCTTTAGTATAGGATATTTGAGCTTCTGTATAATTAAAAACCAAACAGACTACATTGAAATTACAGTTCAAAAAGTACAACCTTAATGCAGCAAAACTGAATAAACCTGTCTGCTTTGCAACAAAGATCAGTTTTTCCTGTGGCCGCTTTGAAGAAAGTCAGTTTACCTGCTACTGCTGCAACGGTATTGTGTTTACCCAACAAAGGTTTTTCAAAAAGTCATACAAACACAAATAAAAGAAATTATTAAATGAACAAGATTTGTAATTAACATTTTGTTGATATTGTCCAGGGGAGTACTCAGTGTTGTTGTACATTTTATATGCAGTGCAAACAGTGTCTGTCAGTGAGTGAACATCATTTTCAGTTACTACAAATAGCATGTGCCAGCAATAAATATTTCATTAACATTAGATTTACACATGCATGTGTGGGTATGTGTCCAGGAGGAGCTTGATGAGTGCGTGGATCGCCGTGTACATCAGTTAGAGGATCTGGAAGCAGTATTTGCTGATCTTCTAGAGGATGATGGGGAAGAAACAGTTTCACGTTGGGCCAGCAGTCCCGGGTAACGCTTCTCTGCCTTCATGTCACTGTTGCAGTATAGCAGTTAATGTAACTGTCCACTGCAGTAATACTCATCCTGTTAGAATCAACAAAAAGTAACACCTGTGCATGTGCAGTACCAGAGCTCCCTTCAAACTCATTTCCAAATTACAGTATAGCACAGTGTAGTATCCACCGAACAGCCATAAGATTAAAACCACTGGCAGGTGAGATGAATTCCACTGATTGTGTCATTACAGTGATGCCCATCAAGAGGTCGCTCTAGACTTTCTTGTTGTCCATCATTTTGACACAGGGTCATAATTTGCTATTACTCAATTTGATTTTAATTTTTAACGTACTTAATTGCATTTCATTTTCATTTCATTTTTTAAAAATAATTAATATATGTGCAGCCACTTTTCATGTCAAACATGAAAATAACAAACAAACAAAGACATAAGCATGAGAGCAAAACTTTTAGGAACGCAACCAAAATGGACAAACGGCAAAAAGAGAAATAAGCATTACAGGGTTTTTTACATTTACAATACATTTATTTTGATTGCAGTACCAAAGTTTAGCTGTCAAATATGTTTTCTTTGAGAATAGTTTTCTTAGAGTAAAGAAACAAAATAACCCCAATAGAACGGCAGATATTGTAAACATGGACATTTAACCAACAAATGGGTCTACGAGATGTTACATGTTTCTGTTTGAAAATATGCAATCGAAGATATTAATCCGGAGGAGAGTATTGTCTCGGTTTTTTTAACTTTACACCCTTAAAATCACAGAATGATAAATATCTGCAGCCATCCAACACTTATCACAGATTTAAGGGATTGTTGATGTAAATGGAGTGATGATTTGACGTGAGTTTCATAACTTTTAACTTTTTTGGTAATGGAGAATGGGCCCGTGGTACAACCACCCCCCGGTACTTCTGACCCAGATCTCCCCTACACTGCCATGCACTGCAGCACGTTTTAGAGATGCAAAACTTACCGATGCAAAATGACGATGATTAGAAAATATCCAAAGTCTCATGTTCTCATTTTAATTTCCCATTCACTATAGAGTAAACTGCTGAGGGTTTATTAATTAGGAAGTCATAAATACAACCCCAAATCAGACAAAATTTATGAGGTATCACATCAAATAATGTGCTGCTGTATCGTTTTCAATGTCATACAGGACACATGATTTACACATCACTATTTTCAGTTTTAATTTTGATTTTACATGCCATTCCAACTTTTTCTGATTTGGAGTTGTAGTGTGAGCCAATGACAGTTCAGGCCTCTGGAACTGGTAACATTAAATAAAATGGTGTCATTACATAAACCTGCTTTTCCTGCTGTATATAATATAATGATCATACAGTCATGGCCAAAAATATTGGCACCTCTGTCAGATAACACACCACTTCTACCAGAAAATTGTTGCAATCACAAAGTCTTTGGTATTCTCATGTTTATCTCTTTTGTTTGCTTTGGAACAACACAAAAAAACAGACACATTCCACACAGAACTCCAAAAATGGACTGGACAGAATTATTGACACGTTTTCAAAATCATCTGAAATAGTTATATTTCAAGCACATGATTAATTTGCAATGAAACTCATCTGTAGCAACCAACAGGTGCTGGCAACATAGAAATCACACTTGCAACCAGTTAAAATAGAGAAAAGCTGACTCAACCTTTGTGCCGTATGGACCACACTGAGCATGGAGAAAAGAAAGAAGAGCAAAGATTGTCTGAGGGTTTGAGAACCACAATAGTGAAAAAGCCTCGACAGTCTCAAGGCTCCAAGTCCATCTCCAGAGATCTGGCTGATCTTGTGTCCACTCTGTGGAACATTGTCAGGAATAATAAGGGACACTATGGTAGGAGACCCAGGGGACCCCACTGCTGACACAGGGACATAAGAAAGCCAGACTGGAGTTTGCCAAAACATACCAGAGGAAGCCACAGTCCTTCTGGGAGAATGTCCTGTGGACAGATGAGACTAAAGTAGAGCTTTTGGTCGAGCACATCATTTTACTGTTTTCAGAAAATGAAATGAGGCCTTCAGAGAAAAGAACATGGTCCCTATGGTCAAACATGATGGAGGTTCACTGATGTTTTGGGGTTGCTTTGCTGCTTCAGCCACTGGATGTCTTGACTGTGTGTGTGACATTATGAAATCTGAAGATTACCAATGAATTCTGTCAAACATTGGGTCTCTGTCAGAGGTCATAGGTCTTACAGCAGGACAGTGACCCAAAGCAGACAAAATTCCAGTAGACATGTAAGAAACTCACTGATGGTTAGAGGAAGCGACTGATACCAGTTATTTTGTCCAAAGTGTGTGCTACCAAATATTAAGTTGAGGGTGTCAAGAATTCTGTCCAGTTCATGTTTGATGTGATTGCAACAATTTTCAGGGAGAAGTGGTGGATTATCTGACAGAAATGCAGGAGAGCCAATATTTTTGGCCAGGACTGTATGGTAGGCTGATTTTGTAGTGAATACAATCCCTGTGCAATAGACAGTCAGTAGCTCACTCTATAGTGAGCAGTAAACTGAAATTCCTGACACAAGACAGCTGTAATTTTTTCCTTCTATAAAATGTGGCACATAGAGTTGTGGGGTTGTTACTTAAGGTAGTGTACATGTCATATGGGAAATTTTAAAGGGACTATATGAGCTTATATTGACTGATAACTCAGACACTTGGTGATAATGACATATGATAAATATAATCCAGTCTGAAGTAAATAAAGAATGATTTTCTACACTTCTGGTATGTAATATCTTACTTTTTATATGTGTGTTTTCAGCATGGCTTTGTTAGCCCGACTGGTTTCCAGTTTGAAGTCAAGAAATCCATGCCCAGACTATGAGATGGTAAGAATAAAGTTAATGCACCTTTGTTCTGTAACTGTACAGCATCCAAAATCACTTCTGTTATAGCTATAGTGTTACTATCTTGGTTCTCTGTTCTTTCATGTCTTCTCTCTGTGTAGTCTTCGCTCACCCTGATTCTCATTCTTTTTTCATCCCTTCCCATCTGCAACTCCTCCTCTACTGTTCTTCTTCTGTTTCCCCCAACTCCCCCATCTCGTCATGTTATCTGCCACTCTGCCGCTTCACCCCTCCTCTTCCTCTGACCTGTCTTTTCTCTCCCAGGTCCATCAGGCAGGGTTAACCTGTGACACTGTGGAGCTGCCTCACCACATCAGCACCGATGAAGAGATCGACAGACTCATCTCAGCGGTAAAGCTGTTTCTGACGCCTCTGCCCAAACCTACAATGGTTACTGTGTCCAGGTATGTAACGGCCATAAAGTTACAGATCACATTTCTGTATAAGTACTTTATTTTTATTTTCCTAATGCACATTCCTTGTTCTTGTTTGCGCATTCTTTTTCTTTTCTTGTTCACTCAGTCATATCTTGTTTACTTGTCTACTCGTCGCCACTGAGAGCTGGCCAATAAAGCTGATTCTGGTCTATGAATTATGAGTTAGAATTAAATTTTAAATGTAGCCCATCTTGTGAAAAAAGTAGTAGTACAGAAAGAGAGGTTAAATGTGGTTGTGTGTTTTTCAGGTCCAGTCTAGATGAATACTGTCCTGTAGAGCAGGTGGATTCAGTTCAGAGCAAAGTACTAGCTGTACTGGAGAGCCTGTATGGAGCACTGGATTTACACAAAGACTATGAAAACAGCAGCACAGAGACTCTGGACTGCCACCCACAGGCCTTTTAACAAACACATATATACTGTAAACATCACTTTTGGATGTAATGGATGTACTGTTTGATACTACTGGTACTTTGGATATTGTTGCACTGAATCCTAATTATGTTCTGTGTCCAACAAATAGAATATGTTTTGAGGCCTTTGTCATGATTACATAAAGTGTTAACATGTACACGCTCAGAAGGAGGCAGATTACTGTGAAAATACTTAGTCTTCTTCTCGTTATGGGTTAGTGAGTGTAGACTCACTAACCCATTAAATGAAAAAATGAAAAAGTATCCAATTAAAATGTATATCACAATAAAGTGTGCATTTATTATCTTCACTTCCACAGTCACCCCTTTGCTGCTTGCAATTGAGGCATTGCATGTTTTGTAATTAATACTGAGGCTTCACACTTCAATATAACATTCATTAATATTTCATTTATTATTTTATCATTTCTAAATAATATTTCATTTCAAATGGACATTTATTGATTCACTGCCGAAGCACAGGGTGAATGCAGACATACAGGAGCAGTCTGTGTGCTCAGATTCAACCAAATGCATCAAAACTCAACAGACAACATTTCATCATTCAGTGGGACAAAGATCCTAAACATGGCTGAACTTTTTAATGTGAAGAGGTGGCATATCCTCACCTGGCTGAGTCTGTCACCTGATCTCACTCTGATTGAGCTACTTGCTGAAGCCAGGACTAAAGGCAGAGAGAGCTTAAACAAGACAGAGCTGAAGTCCCGAGAATCTGGGAGAGCATCACCAGGAAACATACAAGGTGTCTGTGGGTGACTGCAAAGGGATTTCTACTGCGTTAAATCTTAAAGCACTTTAATGTAGTTATTATTTTAGTTTAAACTGAATATACCCAAAGAATAAAAAATACTTAAATACCAAAAATACAGTTTCCAAGACTATACAAAATGCTGAGGCTGATACCTACAGTGGATTTTATACCGTCCCACAAAAAAGGCTTTTGAAAAAGTTTGTAGGCAAAATATCAAACAGAGGGAAGACTTTAGGACAGATTTTATAGTTAATGTCATCAAAAGCTGTCATGTTAACATGATTAATTTTATGCGGATGCAAGCATTTTCCTGGCGCGGATGGTTTGTCTACTCTTCAGAAAAGTAATTACTTAAGTCAGTAATAGGCGTTCATGCTGGAGGGTTTGTCAGTCTGTCAACCGCAGCATTTAAGGAGATGACACTACCAATTTATAGTGTGTGTGTTTTATTGTACTTCGTAATTGTAAAAATGTCCAGGCTTATGTGGATGCCTTTGAAAAGGTATATGCTTAATTAAGATTGCACTAACCAAAATTATTATAGCAACAATAGATCAAATGTCAAAAACCAGTAACAAAACCACTGAGAATTATCAGCAGCTCTAAGTTCACCTGAGTGTTTTAGTTTCTTTTAACGTGCTGTGTATTTTGGCCTTGCATGAAACTGTGTTCATCAGCAGTTTTCAGTTCTGTTCTGATGAACTCACTGTACATGCCCTACTTGACACCACAAAGCAGACAGACAAGGTAGCGACCAGCTGCTGAACAGTGTCCAGCAGCTAATTCAGTTTATTTTATTTGCATAACTCCAAATCACAACAAAAGTTATCTCAGGACACTTTACAAAGTAGACCTTTTTATTATTATTGTTGTTAATATAGAGGAAAACCCAGCAAATGTCCCTTGAGCAGTACTTGGTGACAGTGGGGAGGAAAAACTCCCTTTAACGGAAGAAACCTCCCAGAAACCCCGGCTTTTGGTGGGCGGCCTTCTGCCTCGACCGGTTGGGGTGAGTGGATAGAGGAGAGACAAAAGAAAAGTAACAAGTGTCTCCTTTAATTCTGTATAATATATGAACAACCATCAGTGAGTGAGAAATAAAGAGAACTGAGATGGATACATCTTCTGAATGAGTTATTTCTGCAGAAAGGAGCTGTCTACAACAGCACTCAGAGGCATGTTGCAGAAAAGAATAAAGGAAGATTCAGTTTAATATAAAGCAGAGGATAACGTCACACACAAAAGGAGGATACACTGAGAACAATCATGCATCTGTGTTCAAAGAGTTTCTATTTCCAAAACACCGAGAGGTTCACAGGAGATAATCTCAAGGTCTGCAGATATTACAGTTGCTTCTGCAGCAAACAAAGATACCTTAGGCATTCAGTGTGTCAGCACAAAAACAGAGTTCAGTGTGTGAAAGGTTACCACAGTTGTTAGCAGACTATAGTTTAATATGTAAATGAACAATATAAATGGATATACTGAAAAATACCATTACACAAGACACAACAAACATTCAACCACTGGGCAGGTTGATGTGGCCGGTGACTGCTCGTCAGAAACATGGAGCTCCAGAGCCAGGGCAACCTGCTGAAAGGTACAGGGAGAGAGAGAGGACACACAGTTAATGATGCGCAATGGTGACATCATGGGCCCCCCCAGCAGCCTAGGCCTATAGCAGCATAACTAAGGGAAGGCTCAGGGTCACTTGATCCAGCCCTAACTATAAGCTTTATCAAAAAGGAAAGTCTTAAGTCTAATCTTAAAGGTAGAGAGGGTGTCCGCCTCCTGAACTGAGACTGGGAGTTGGTTCCATAGGAGAGGAGCTTGATAGCTAAAGGCTAAAAAGAAAACATGGAGCGATACTGGCAGTCATCTGGAGTGTGATGGATAGAATGGGCTGTTGTTTGCTAACAATTTGTCAGACTGATATGTGAATGAATTTATATTAATGTATGAATTATATAGAAGATAATAGCAAGTTTACAACTGCAAATGACAAATCAATACAGAATCAAACTTTTTTGAACATCTAGTAAAGGAAGACTATTACAGCAGCTGTTTTAAATTGTTTTCCCATGTGCATTTCATTATTTTATTTCATTCAAACATAGAGCAGCAAATGTTTAATGCAGTCTGGTGTAATCACAAAGTGTGTAAGTTTTCATTTTAACTTATTGGTAGAGCTGTTAATTGAAAAACACACATTATAGTTATAGAGGAATTACATTTTAGGAGATGATGTGAATCTCTATATGGCTCCCTTGCATGGTCTCTTCTTGGGACAGCAGTCATCCCCACTGGGAGCTGCTATATGCTCACGTTTCTCTCTCCTCTCAGATCCATCCAGAGAAAGCTTTATGTTAATTCATCAGATCAAACAGCTCAATACAACTACTGGGGTTCCAGGTAGACAGAGCAGATCCCATAATGGAGTCATCCGGGAAAACGAGAAGGGGCAGAATCTGCTGCTACACAAAGCAAGGTTAGTGTAAAGATGTATATATATACATCAGTCTGAAAGCTCCTCTGCCATAATATTTATTTATTTATTTATAAAAGCTGTCTTTCTTCTCCTCTCATTCCCATTTTATTGCTCTACTTTTACTTGTTTTATTTTTTCATTGTTCCTTTATATTCCTGTTGCCTTACAACACATTGAGGGCCTCTGTACTGGAGTCAGATTCTTGTATGTTCACCCATACCTGGCAATTAAAGACGATTGATTCTGAATCTGATGTGGTGTGTGTTTTTCCATTAATGCCCAGTAGGTGGATATTAGACCCCCCCCCCCAAATGCTTGGCATATCTACTTAAAACCGTTAAACCTCATATGACAATGAAGAAAATCATTTCCTTGCCTTATCAATTGCTATTATCAATTGTCATTAATTACAACACCCATATCGGAAAGGTTTATGTATATAAATAAAGAAATGGACCTCTAATGAAAAGTTTACATCATATGGGTGGAGGATATTTTCTCTGGTGTGATGTATTCGATGACAAGGTTGGTCGAGTGGTTGATGTGTAATTAATTTTTAGATTTCCAGTTTAGAAAGATTGTTTTCTTGGCGATAGTTGGTGAGATAAGAAGTGAGTTCTTAAATTTAATTGGTAGGTGGTTGACTTCGGTGACATTACATCTTGTTTGTCTTTTGGTAAAGTTTGCTCCCAGTTGTTTCTCAGAGCACGTGAAGGCATCATGCGGTCAACGTGCATTTCGCTGTCTCCGCCCTGTCACTGACATTCAGGCCAACACACAGACTCACAGACTCACAGACACAGTAGCTAAAATGAAGGACAACATTTGGCCCCGAATTGTCGTGATTATCTTGTGTGCCCTGGTTTTTGTGGCCGTTTTAATTGTTAATGCCTTGGCCGGAGCGGGCAAAGGTGAGTTACAGGGTATTTAGACACTGTGTTAAGTTAGAGCAGCCATTAACTTCACTCTTCTTGTTCCGACACTGACTGTTTTACTTTTTTCTCAGAGCTTGTAAAGTGACATAACTTGTTAAGCCAAATTGGATTAGTTTTCTGCTAATACGACTGTGTTTTTGGTGGATACGAAACGTTTTAGTGGGAGGGAAACTGGGGGCGGCACGTCGCGTCTTTTCCGCTGTTATACATAAGAATGAGGAGTTTTTTCCATGGCCATGTAAACAGGCTGTGTGAAAGTTGGTAAATGGAGCTGTTTGTGCAGGCTACTGTTGTTAGAGATAGAGGAAAAGGCCTGTTTTGTTTTGTTAAGCTGCAGTAACTTTCAGGGAAAAAGAAAAAAGATGGTTTTTGTTCCTTGTATAAAGTTAAATCCACTCATTCTTTAAAACAGGATGTCTTCCTCCATGGACAGGGTGTGGTGGGATAAATCTGTCTCTGTCTCCACCCGCAGTTTTATTTTTTTTAAATCAAAAGCTGTTTTTATTTCTAACCACTCCCTTCAGTGCTTGGATTTCTTACTTTAAGTCTTAATCTTACCCATTGTTTTAAGAATATTTTTTTCTTATTTAAAAAGCTATTTTTTAAACTGCTCCCTATGTGTAACGTTTAAACTTTTACTTTAATTATTTACACTAAAAGCATTTTGTTCAAACTCCTGTAATGTTACTGCTGTTTGCGTGATGGACTCCACCGTTACCAGATGCAACTTTAAAATGATGAACATAATGATACATCAGTAATTATAATGCAGTAATATAATATACATTTGAGTGAAATATGGCTTTCTGCAGAATGAATACTTTAACTTTTGGTACTTCAAGTATTTTCTAATACTAATACTTATGCACTTTTATTTACATGCAATTTTAAATGCAGGACTTGTAATACAGTAGCACTGTAGTATTACTACTTTAACTTAAAGGAAAGGATCTGAGTACTTCTTCCACTGCTGCTTTTACACACTTTGGCCATTGAGCTCCAGGGAACAACAACACTAATACACTAGCACAGTAATGACTACATACACTAGTGTGCCTCCAACTTGGAAGCAGCAGTTTGTGTTTGGCCCTTTCCTGTTTTAACAAGGAACAAGGCAGTGCCCAGAGCACAAAGCCAGCTCCATAAGCAAATGGTTCCCCACTGTCATGTGGAAGAAGCTGACTGGCCTGCACAGAGCCCTGACCTCTGGGATGAGGTGGAACGCCAACAGTGAACCAGGCCTTACCAGACAACATCAGTGTTGGACCTCAGTAATGCTCTTGTGGCTGAACGTCTTTGCTGTTTTCCAGGACCTTTCCATTTCTCTACTGGCAATGTGTCGGCCCACTATGAGACAGACATCACTCCAGCTGGCTGGACCTTCTCTATCTGGGGGGTTATCTACACCTGGCTCACTCTGATGGTCCTATACATCACATCATATGTATTCAGAGGGTAAGCTAACATCAAAATAGTCATAAGTGTTTACTCACGATTCAGCCTGTCTGATAGGGCTCACGGCCCAGAACAACATGCAGATGACACTTCTCTTTCTGTTAATAGATCCTGGGCTCAGTGTCTGCTGCCCTACTCCTTCTATTTTTGCTGGCTGTCCAACATGGTGTTGAACATGGCGTGGCTGCTGCTGTGGGACAGAGAGTATGTTTACATCTTCTACATATTAGTTTATTTATATGCCCAGAAAAAAAAAGTCTAAAAACACAATACGGAAACAAAGCAACTAAAATGTGAGTGTAAGTTTTATATGTGGTCTTCAGTTAGAGCAGCTGAGGGTGAGGGAAGGCGCCGAGCAGACTAAAGGGATAAAGGGCTGGGAAAACTCTCTCTAATCACAAGTAAACATTAACATGTGTTTAACATTAGGTAGGGATGAACTAGGATTTGATGCCTAAAAGCCATGTATGAAGAAGTAAAATATGTTAAAAAATGAATGTTAAGTTCCTTTAAAGGGAATTATACATAACAAAAGGCATTAAGCAAAACCTTTAGGTTAACTTGTGCATGTTTTGAGATGCCCATCTTTTAATTTTCTATCACCATCCTAATACAGTGTGTTAACTGAATTTCATGTGGGGTGCTTACAGCATTAAACAGCATGTAATGTTTTAGAACACAACATTTAGAAAACACAGTAATGTCAATTTAAAAAGCAGAACCTCTTTCCAGACACAATGAAACCATGTTGGTCTGTAGAAATCCTCCTTTTGAAGACTGTTGACAGCAGATTCTGTCAGCCCTCCAGAATAAAAAAGACCAGTTCAGCAAAGACGAGTTGCGGTGTAATTTTAAATGAAAATTTCAGTCCTATGAGCACCACAGACAACATTCCATTCACCTCTGTTGTATTCTGAAGAAGGCAGAAATTCAGTGATGGATGTCTTCTTTGTTTAGGTGAACTGACCCTTTAACATACAACAATTTCTGCAAGTTTGTCAGGAGAACTGTAAAATGGGAATTTCATTAAGAGATTCTGTGGAGGAAGCGACGTGATTTTGTCCATGTTCTACAATCCACTCTGATAAATTGTGTGCTCAGTTAGTCAATACAAATATTTCTAGGGAAGCTAGGAGTTTAATTTGTCGTTGCACAGTGGAATTTGACTGTACCTAAGAACTTTCAGGATTAATTCAGTTCACACTGATTAATATGCTGCTTTTAAAGGTGCAAACAGATTAGACTAAGGTTTCGACACTTGTCTTCATCAGTCAGACTTTCAGAATCTGTTATTCTTTATTCATTCATATTATTCATTTATCTGCAAACATAATTACTTGGATGATATTTAATTTGTGCCACTCATTAAAATAAAGTCTTGAGGTGATTAAATTAGTGTGAAAGGAACCACTTCAGGCTGTGGAACTCAACGTGCTGCTTGCTCTCATACTAGATGAGGACTGATCACCACACAGAACATCATGTGAACAGTACTGAATATCCTCTGGTGTATGTTGTTTGGGAATCCCTAAAAATACAGTCTCTCCACTGACCATATTAAGGCCCTAGTTAGGTTTTAAATCCCAGTGGAAGTTAGAGATTCTTCCAGAATCTCTGAAATGCCCGCTTGTAATTAAAAACCGTTAACACAGAGACGCTCTCTGTCTTGCAGGTTGATGCTGGCAACGCTGGTTGTATTAATCCTGATAGTGATTACCAACTACAGTGCATTGTTCTACTGTTGCTTTGCCACTGATTACTATGGACTCTGGTTACGTACATACCATCGCAAAGACCTGGCCTGTCTCCGAATACTGGTAAGGCAGCGTGAGTGTGTGTGTGTGGATGGAGGCTTCCTCAGAGACCATGTGCTCTTCCGTTATTCAGGACATGATTAATGGAAAATGCCTTTTTAAAAACTCTGTCACTTACTGTATAGAGTATATAGTACCTATAACATATGCTGTATAATATGTTTGCACTCATACATGTTTATGTTTAGGTCCAGAATGGTTTGGCTCTCTACGCCACATGGACATCCATTGCCTCGCTCATCAACTTTGCAGTGGTTCTCCACCAGTGGGGTGTGGACAGGAGTACAGCAGCAACCGCCTCTCTGTGCATCCTGTTTGCACAGGTGGTCGGATGGTAAGTGCTAATTGGATGAGGTGAAATGATGAGCGTTCACAAGTCGAAGAGCAGAACACTCACCGTGAGATACCTGAAGGTGGATAAGATTTTAGTTAACTTCTTGACAACAGGTGCATTTATCATGACCTAAAATGGCTTTGTAAAGTAGCTGCTGGAAGCTTTGGTGCAAAATACTACTGTCAGCACCAGTGTGTCATTTTCCCATCAGCAACTTTAGATGGGATCAAGTTTATTAGAGCATTGCACCCCAATAAACTGCCCAGTTAGTTGGTAATCGCTTTGTGTGTGTGTGTGTCTGTGTGTCTGTGTGTCTGTAGGTTCATCCTTGAGAACTGGGTGCTGGACCGCTGGGTGCGTTACATCCTGACCGTGTACCCTGTGGTGATCGTGGCTCTGGTCGGAATCCTCTTTAAACAGTTTAACTTCTATGATCCAACTCCAAATTCTGTGTTTATGGGTGAGTAAGACAAATCAAAACGAAACACCAGCCATACGTCTGTCTCTCTAGTAGAGTTTAACAAGCTACCGCCTTTCCACCTGATATTCGTACTGGCCAGTAACTTTAGAGGGGATTCAGGCCTCTTCACATTTTGCTTTTCAGTGTAGATTTAAATTTAAATGGGTGCAGTTGTCATTTTCCCCATTATTCTGCACTCAGTGACACTGAATGACAAAGTGAAAGCTTTTTATTTTTGATTTATTTGCAAATAAATTAAACATCAAACATTGAAATTTCTCATTTACAAAAGTTCTCAGACCTTTAATTCAGTACTTGGTAGCAGCCCTTTGGCAGCAGCCAGCTGTCAGTCTTCTTGGCTAAGTCTCTGCAAGCTTTGGGCAGTCTGTCTCATTCTTCCTGGCAGATCCTGCCAAGCTCTGTCAGACTGGATGGGAAATGTCTGTGAACTCCAACTTCAGGTCTCTCCACAGTTGTTTTATAGGATTAAGTCTGGGCTTTGGCTGGTTTCTCAGGGATGGTCAGAGACTCGCCCTGAACCCACTCCAGTCTGGTCTGCATGCTTCTGGTTGTTGCTCTCAGGTTCTCTGGAGCAGGTTCTCTTCAAGAAACTCTCCACTGACAGCAAGGGTCAGAGCGCTTTTATAAAAGAGAAATTTCAGTTTTGATTTAAATTTTTTTTTTTATTTCTTTTTAAAAAAAAGCATGTTTTCAATTTGCCATTATGTGTTATTGAATGTAGACTAATGGACAAAAATGACTATTTTATCCATTTAAAAATTAAATCCAAAACAATAAAGTGAGTGGGTCTAATTATTTTCTGAAGCTGCCGTTGTGGCCCTGGTCAACAAATTACAGTCAGACAGGGCAAAACAAATAAAATCCAAACCCACACAATCCACTGAAAAGTGTCAGTGCTATTTGCCTGCAATTTTATCAAAACAGTATGAACACAGAGGTATTTTTAAATCAAATTTATTTCATTTAGAATAAGAAAATTGGATAAAAATCATAGTGTTATCTTTGTACGTACCCTAAAATGATTTCCATGTTTAAGCTTGAGGTTGACTCTTGTGGCTGACTCAGTCACCCATTGGTACTTTTTTTTTTTGTCTTGGCCTGGTAGTTGTGCTGCTGTTTTTGGCATGCATCCTGCTGGTTTCCCGAATCTTTACGGTCATCTGGAGGAACAGGTGGAGGCCTCTCCTCTCCCCAGGTTCAGCACGGCTGATGATATCACCCCTTGATGGCAAGAAATTCAAGATCTTCACCTGAACAGTGCTCGCTGTCCCACTGCAGGCCTTCTTCTGTCAGCCCAGACACCCTAAGATTTTGTATTCACACAAGCCACTGCATGGTTAATTGGTGAAAGGGTCAGATTTAAGATGGAGCTTAACACTTGTTCATCTAGTCATAGATCTTTAATGAGGAGGCCATAAAACCTCTTCTCCCAAAGTGAAAATAAGACTTTGGCATCTGAAACTCCAGGGCTGTTTACCACTTGCGTTAGTGTTGTGTACATGAAAAATGTTCTTATATGAGCACGTGACTAATTTTTTGTATTCCTGTTTGACCACTCTTTCATTGCTGCATTTAAGCTTTTTCTGTTTTGTATCCATACTGTGGCAACAGATTATATACCGTCAGTATTCTGGCTTTTTTGATGATGTAATTTGACTAAGCACTTACAGCTTTGATTTAATTCTGAGTTACCATCTGTTAGTCTGGTTTCCTGAAAACTTGTGAAGTGGGGAAAAAAGCTAATGCTTATTGCATTATACTGTACATACTGTAGGAGATGTGTTCCCCCATCAGGAAGAAAATCAGTAATGTCTAGACCCTGTTAATTTGTAAACCCGGGGAGTATTCTTTGTACGTAGATTAACAGGTTAGCCACATCATTTTGTTGATTTCACATGATCCCAGACCTGTTAGTTCTTTGAAAGTCTGAGCCGACTCTGGAGCAGGTTTATTCAATTTAAACAAACTCAAACAGGTTGGAACAGAAAGTCCAAACTAGGGATGTGCTGTTCTTACATGAGCGACCCACTGACAGTGTATTAAGAGATCTGCAGGACCCTTTGGCCCGTCCCAGCCCGTTCTTAATCAAATGATACCGTTTCAGTCAAAAGGGAATAATTTACTGAAGAGGACTGTTTGCACCTCATATTATTACAAAGAGGAGTCGTGCTCTTCTCACCACACAGTGTGCACTGCACTGAGTTTTCTCACAAGCAGCACTTTCTTATATATGGTTGTTCTAAAAGTGTGCCTGGCTCTGTAACACTCCCTCTGAGTTTTCATAGTTTGCCTTCTTCCTGTATTTAAAATCAAAGGCAATAATTGCTCTGAAGCCTGTTTAATCTTTTCTAATCCACAACTCAGGTGGAGAGCAAGGAACCAAAGTATCCAGGATATGTTTGAGCATTAGTCACTGATCTCAGATCTGTTTAGTGATGTATGAAGAATACCCCCCTGGGAACAGACCTTTTGACACCTTTGCCTCTGATTAGAGATGCAGGTTTGCAAAAAAGTGTCATTGGTTCAAGATTTTATTGAGCCCATTTGAAGTAAGTACTCCTAGTTGGTTCCTCACCCATTTTAGCCCTTTATTTTTCATCTTTATTCTTTGCTGTTTTCTCTGTTTTTTGTGTCTATTTCAGTTGTATGCCTAGCACAGTGCCAGCACTTCAAATGTCTTAACTTGTTCTGTTTTGTTTTTATTGTTTGTTTCTCATTTTATGTTTTTATGCTGCCTTACTGCAAACAGAATATCCTCGTTAGGACAATAAAGATCTGAACTAAATGGAAGATTATAAATGCCTTCAGAGATTAAACATCCTATACATTAAGAAAGTAAGTGCATATAGAACCACTGAATTACGTAATGCAGATGTACTGTCGCTAACACCACCGATACACTTGGTCTTAACTACTTGTGCACATCTTTGAGAGTCTTTTACGTCCTCAGCTTTGCGTCCATGAGATGCAGTTCATCACATTACATTACAGGCAAATGCAGAAAGTACAGGTACATCTCAATAAATTAGAATATCGTGGAAAAGTCCATTTATTTCAGTAATTCAACTCAAATAGGGAAACTTGTGTATTATATAAATTCAGTACACAGAGACTGAAGTAGTTTAAGCCGTTGGGCCTTTTAATTGTGATGATTTTGCTCACATTTAACAAAAACCCACCAAATCACTATCTCAATAAATTAGAATATGGTGACATGCCACTCAGCTAGTCAACTCAAAACACCTTAAACTACTTCAGTCTGTGTGTACTGAATTTATATAATACACGAGTTTCACTATTTGAGTTGAATTACCGAAATAAATGGACTTTTCCACAATATTCTAATTTATTGAGCTTCACCTGTAATTCCAGATATTAAGGAATTTGGAAAATAGTGTCTATTTTTTTTGTTTGTTTGTTTTTTTTGTTACTTTTGCAGGTGATGTTGTTGGTCGTGTTCTTGGTGCTCTTGGTGCTGTTGTTGCTGCTGGTGTGAAATACCACAGAAAGAAACATCCAAGAGGTGAGTCTCTTATGTATCTTTTTTAACTTCCTGATATTAAACTTGTTATAAGTTCTTCGTACATCGCTAAACAGATCCCAGATCAAATGAGCAAGAGTAAGTAGAAGCACCAAGAAGAATCTGCAAATTAAAATAAAGTACTAGAATGATTTGTAAACTGGCATCACTGTAAGGTATAACTATTAGTTCTACTGCCTTTATTATTAGCTTTTCTTCATAGCTTTGTCTCAATAATCAAAAGTTATGATGGTTTGGGGTGCAATGTCATCTGCTGGTGTTGGTCCACTGTGTTTTTTGAAAACCAAATTACTGCACCCATTTACCAAGAAATTTTAGAGCACTTCATGCTTCCTTCTGCTGACCAGCTTTTTAAAGATGCTGATTTCATTTTCCAGCAGGATTTGGCACCTGCCCACACTGCCAAAAACACCAAAAGTTGGTTAAATGACCATGGTGTTGGTGTGCTTGACTGGGCGGCAAACTCACCAGACCTGAACCCCATAGATTCTCTATGGGGTATTGTCAAGAGGAAAATGAGAAAGGAGAGACCAAAATATGCAGATGAGCTGAAGGCCACTGTCAAAGAAACCTGGGCTTCCATACCACCTCAGCAGTGCAACAGACTGATCACCCACCTTCATGCCATGCTAAACTGAGGCAGTAATTAAAGCAAAAGGAGCCCCTACCAAGTATTGAGTACATATACAGTAAATGAACATACTTTCCAGAAGGCCAGCAATTCACTAAAAATGTTAAGTTATAGGTCTTATGAGGTATTCTAATTTATTGAGATAGTGATTTGGTGGGTTTTTGTAAAATGTGAGCAAAATCATCACAATTAAAAGACCCAACAGCTTAAACTACTTCAGTCTGTGTGTACTGAATTTATATAGTACACGAGTTTCACTATTTGAGTTGAATTACTGAAATAAATTGACTTTTCCACGATATTCTGATTTATTGAGATGTACCTGTAGAAGCAGCAGTTTCAGAACACCACAACAACAGCGGAAAGCTCTGAGGAACTCAGAGCTCACCCAGCCAACAAATCCAGCATCACCGCTGCTGTCTTCTCTGCCGTGAGCTCACCATCAACAGCATAACTGCCTCGAGCTCCCAGCGGCAGCAGAGTTGTCTGGATGACAAGAACACTGTGACCAAAATCTGACGAGATTTAATCTGCTCGTTTGTTTCTCTTCGAAAAAAGACAGCTGTGCTTAATCTGAATCAATAAAACATTTTTAGTTAGTGAAACATCTGCTTCAGCCTGTTTGTGCCAGTTTCTCACTAAGAGTTTCCTGTCATTTATATTTGACTATGGACACAGTCACTGTCGCATCCTCAAAGCACTGTCGAGGCTGGTGATGGGTGTGTGGACTTACTGAGACAGGACAGCAAGGGGATTTAATAGTGAAGAAAGCCTGTGACCCAGTGTGTGTGGCTTCAGTGTGGGCATTTTTCATCTCCAGTCTGATCTGCTGCTGATCATGTACACTAACCTGATGTCCTGCCTTCCTCACTTTGCAGACCAGTCTGCAAATAAGCAATGGTACATGAAGTACTCAGCACTTTTACTTAAGCAGCAGTACCACAGTGCAGAAATACCGTCACAAATCCTGCATTCAGAATATTACATAAGTAAAAATACAGAAGCTAACTTCACTCCCTGAGCGCCTAGCGGCCATTCAGAATATTACATAAGTAAAAATACACATGCGGAATGATTTTTTTTTTTTTTTAATAATGTGTATTGTTAGGTTTTAATTATGAATCCATTGTGTTTATCACTTTGGTGTTGCAGCAGGTATACTGTAGGTGGAGCTCATTTTATTAACTATATACAGTTGAGTAGTTTGTGATGTTCCCTCAGAGATCAAAAAGTTATATCAACTTATGTCATCATTCATTTATTATACACAGCTGTCATGTAAATGTAGTGGAGCAAAAGTATAAACTCCCTCAAAATTGTACTTAAATATGGTACTTCACCAAATATACTTTGATGCTTTCTACTACAGCAAATATGAGACATCAGGACAGACCTCGAGTAGTTTGTGATGTTCCCTCAGAGATCAAAAAGTTATATCAACTTATGTCATCATTCATTTATTATACACAGCTGTCATGTAAATGTAGTGGAGCAAAAGTATAAACTCCCTCAAAATTGTACTTAAGTATGGTACTTCACCAAATATACTTTGATGCTTTCTACTACAGCAAATATGAGACATCAGGACAGACCTCGGTATAAAGGCCTTGGTAGACGGGGCAGATGTTGATACACTGGTGAGTAGCTGTGTCCACAGGGTGTAGTCACTAGGCCTGTCCATAGAGTCAGACTCCACACACAGCAAGGTTTTGTTTTACATATATATATACAGTATATAACATCCGCAAGAAGCACCTGCTATCACAACTAGAGATCAACAAGGTACAACACGAATGCTCCAGCAAGGGGGAGCCAGGACAACAGGTCAGGAGGGAGATATCATCATCACCCCTACAATTGGATACTGGGTACCAAGCCCCAATAACAGGCCTGGATGAGCTTGATTCAAGGGCTGCTGACCTGAGACTGAAGATCATGAGCAAGATGGACACCTGGAACTCCCGTGGCCGGTTACCAATACTAAGTGAAGTGCCTTCTGAAAGTCTACTAGATGATGTGAATGCAGCACTAAGAACAATCCCTACTACGACCATCACTGAGACCAACAAGCTCATATACACCACAGCAACCGTGATCTTTCAGATGCTTGGCTATAAGTTCAACAAAGGCCTCCATGGAGAAGGAGGTTGGAGACCAAGATCAAGGCAGCACGGAGAGAAGTTAGCCAGCTATCAGAATTGCAGAAAGGCGTGATGAAGAAAGGAGTACCTAAGAAATACAACTTACTGTCCATACCTGAGGCCTTAGAGATATATGTATATATGTGTTTGTATACAGCTGCATTCATTACTTTCATTTTCTTTTCTGCGTTTGAGTGAGAATTTCTCTTCCTCACCACAGAGACAGAGAGCTAGGCTGGGCCACATCAAAAGTTTTTCTATTGTGATGTTCGCTTGCTGACATGCAGTAAATTTGCACGCCAACCGAAGTATTTCACCACATGTCGACCTGGCAGTTATGGGAAAGAGGAACCAAGAAACACATGTGGATGAAATGCATAGAATGTTGTTTGAGAGCAGCAGACATGCCAGAAGGAGGAGGAGGAGGAGGTGCCCGAGGTTGCTTTCCCCTTAGGTACGCCCAGAGGTGAAGAGTGAAAACACATGGCACACTCATGAAACTAACAATGCACAGCTGAACAGTATCTTTAAATGTATGTTCTCTTCAAATCCTCTCCACATTCACAACAGTCTGGTCTGATTGAGCACTGACACATCTATGACCTCACTTGCACAGTCATGTCAGCTACTGGTGCAAGTGACAGAACAGTGACACTGTGGAGGATGACATGACAAGCAAATAGTTCTATTACTTTAGAATATCATATGCACTTGACAAAAAGCATACCTATGAGTCTCAGCACTCTCTGCCATGAAGGAAGTGTCAACTCTTGTTACCAAAACAAGACCAATCTATTAAATAGCAAATGACAGATGCAGCAGAACAAAACATCATGGATATCTAACCAATCTAATCTAAGGCAATTAAACTAGTAACAGTAGAGCAGAGTGTGAAATGTTGTAACAGGATGATATGAGGAGATTCACATTTCTAATAATTCAACAATAACACTACAATTATGAGGCTTTGAGAGGATATGAATCGGTGAAAGGAGGGAAGAATGAGTGTGAACAGGAGGATATACAGAAGTGGTTAGGACTGTCAAACAAAAATGAAAGCTTGGGCAGCAGTTATACAACTGCTGTGGCATTTATTACAAGCTGTACGGCATGTGGTAGTGGAGAACCTCAGCCTGCTGACTCATGTCTCCAGCAAATGTCCTTGTTGTGTCCTTTAACAGCTGAGTGTTAGGTTAAATGCTGTAAGTATGGGTTTTGTGTTCTAAAATGATGTTTGTACTGTGCTGAAGTTGATCAAATTTAAGTAATGAATATATGTAATGTTACATATAGGCTCAACCCACATGTGACACCATGAATTAATGTAAAGCAGACCCAGACAGCAGCACATAGACAGTATAACAAACAGCACTGCAGGTCTTGCCTTCTTTTCCACAGATTTTAATTTGTTTGCAGCAACACTCAGGCATTATGGACTGCAGAAATCATCACTGGCTGTTCAAAAGATGATTTGATTTTATAATGTTGATCACTGTAAATGATCGCTCTTGCTGTCCCCAGTATTTAAAGCTGAAGCGTCGATGTTTCTGACATGAACACAGTGACTCTGATAACCTTGTAATGTGAGGGTTTGCTTGGTACGATGGTTTTGTTTGTTGTGTGTTTGTGCCCTCTAGTGGTCATAATTGCTTACTGCGTGATTAATACCATTTATATTACTGTATCTCATTTCCCATATTTTGCACCAAGACGCGATTGTCAATACTTTCACAAAAAACTTAAGCCAAAAAGAAACAAGAATATCTGAGAACATCTTATAAAACTCAGACGAGATGCCGTCAGCTGCAGGAGATTTTTTTTAAGGTGCGCTACAACTTCCTTTAAAGACAGGGCTTTGACACAGTACTCTTTGTCAGGTAAGCTTAGTGACTTAAAGCGAGACAAAAACGCGTTGCATGCATCTTCATTAAAACTAGAGCCATATAGTTTCTTAAAGAATGCATAACAGTGAGCAGCTGTTTCTTTTGGGTCTTTAATAATGTTATTATTGTCAAAGAGCTGCTGAGTAGAGGTATTCCCTTAGTGCGAGTCTAAAGTCTAAAGAAATATGCAGAATTTTGCTCATCAGCTTTAAGCTTCTGGAGCGAATAAATTAACGTTTGTGTGTGGTCTGCATTCATTGTAGCTCCACGATGTTCAAGTTACCTGGTAGGGGAAACGATCAGTACTAAAACAGTATTTTATCCTGAGTTCCAGTCCAATAGGTGGCGGTAAGACAACTGTACCCCGGTGTACCAACGGTCAATACAACCAAAGAAGAAGAAAAATAAACTGAAGTACGGAAGCGGTAGGGCTGTTAATTTAACAGTGCAGCTGTAAATTTCTCTTGTCCATAAAGCCGCGTTCCTTTCATTAAACTTAACTACTGTGTCCAAATATGTCTAAAAATACAGCTTCAGGCTTGTTTAGGAAAGTAGACGTAGATGAATACGACGAGAACAAGTTTGTGGACGAGGACGACGGCGGGGAGAACCAGGGTGGTCCGGACGAAGCAGAAGTTGACGCTCTGCTCCGACAATATCCTTCAGCTTCACTAGTTATTCTGTATTAATACTGCTTCTGTATTAACGATATCAGGTCGCAAACCAAGGCTCACTGATATCAGTCGGTACCAATGTCAAGTAACTTAAGATAGCTGGCGGAGGGCTAAATAAGAAGGCCGAAATATGGACCTAACGTTTAGTGACATTCAAAACATGTCTAAGTTCAATTGTTCATATCGCGTTTGCTCAGACGGTACATGGGTGACATTTGTTGCACATATTTTGTGCAGTTTGCTGTGGTTGTCCGCCGAGTAGCTGTCAAAAGAGTCGTTTCCGGGTGTCAGTTCACGGGAGGGTGTGGTCGCGCGCAGCTGTTTTACTTTTCAACTTGTTCCCGAAGTAAGTTGTGTTTCAGCGACACGTCTTTCCATTCGCCTTTTGTCAGTGTGAATTCGTTATCTTTGTTGGTTTTCAGTGGCTGTAACTTTTACCAGGTTTGTGAATAATTTGCCTCAGTAGTAACAAAACGCTTTTAACCTATTACCGTATACTTGGCGCTCCGTTTTACAAAACATACCATGATGTGTATTTAACGTCACAAAATATACTGTGGCGTTAAATACACATCAGATTAGTTCAGGTTAGCTCCACCTCACCCAGCTTCAACACTAAACTGCTGCTTCCTTTTTTAATGATCCCTAACATTATGTATTATGACTTTGGAAAGGGCTTCAACAACTTAATTCCTCTCTTACCTAGAAACCTTCAAATACAAAAAAAAAATATCAGGAAAACAGGAGCGTTTCATTAACAGTAACACTGTAGAGCAGAGCCACTTGACGCAAAGCACAAATGTCCCCTCATTTTGTGGTACTAGTGCACTAAATGTGTAGTAAATAGATTTACAGTACTTATTTATGTGTTTGGTTAAAAAAGAACAAAACATACACATGTGTGTCTGTCCTGTGGAACTCTGTAGTCCTTGACTGCTGCTTTGCAAGGGGAACATGAATGCAGCTCTTCATGCTGTGCTAAAGAACCCTCCAGTCAACACCAAGAACCAGAAGGCCAAGGTATCAGTATGTCTTTGCTAAATGTCAGTAGCAACAACACTCTCAGAAGGTGGTGGCAGAGAAAACAGCCTCTCCACTTGTTCCAGAAGTTCATGATTTGATATTATGAGCAGGATGTCTCATAATATGCAGAAATTCTGTAGTAATCATTTAATGTGGCACAGTGGTGGCATCGCTGTGGTGTTTGTGCCTGACACAGACAGCACAGCATTTATGCAAGTTACTTTCACTTGATACTGTATCAGTAGCATTACTCTGAGCACTGGTTTAAGTAAACGTTCTCAGCCAGCTTTTAATAGCTCTGCATTAGCAAAAGATAGAAGAGCAGGAAAATAAGAGGAAGGAAGAAAAATCAGCTTTATTCAGTGTGCTCAGCATCGTCACAGAGCTGGTGACCCTGGAGAAACCAGCAAGAGGAAGTTCGATTTTTGAAAGTAGCAACTAATGAAATCCCACCCATTTGTTCTGACTTCTCTCTAAAGCCACTTCTATAAAAAACGGGCACACTGCAACATGTGCTGCCTGACTACTAGAGATTTCAGGAAAATAACAAATGCCCCCAAACAAAATAAAACTGATAACTACCTGTCCAGCAGAAATACAGATTCACTTCATAAAACTTTTGTTCTCTCAGTTGTCGCTGTCATTCAAAAGTCACATCAGCGTTAATTCTGGTTTTACTTCTTGCAGCACCCAACTTCTTTTAGTCGTAACTTTTTAAAAGTTGGTGTTATCCGCACAGATCTTTGGTCCCGAACCATAGCTGGGGACCTCTGGCTCATGGCTTTAGCCCTGGCCTTTAGCCGGTAACTAGCCTTAGAAGTCTGTGCTTTTCTGGCGGGGAGAAGTGAAGAGGGAGGCCAGCTAACTCTGTTCAAAACACAGGCTTTGTTCTGTCTTGGTAACATGAACACTGCATGTGGCTTTGATGCACATGTAACTGCATTACAACCCTACCTATGCTGAATATTGTCTGGCTGCATGTAAAAGGAGTTTGTCTCTCATACTGTGCACACAGGTCACAACCTCTGGCAACAACAGCATTACCTTTTTATTTACAAATGTATGCATTGGCCTGAGCTAGTATCACAACTCAGAAATGTATACGTATAGTAGCAGAAGTATATGTCTGCACCAGTTCGCAAGATCTAATCTAGAACAACCATCAATGCTCGATTCAGTTGCTGCACAAGGTTCCTCACTTCCACTTTTTAAAATTAGGCTTAGAGCTTATTTGCTGAGCCGGTCTACTTTAAAAAAGTCTTTTGAAGATGTCTACCAGTTCACCACAGCAAGTAGACATTTTAGGTATGTCTGATATGATGTCAATATTTTATATACCTACAATACTGTGCAAGAATCTTGGCCCAGCATTAGTTTAGCAGTTTTAGCATATCTGTTTATTAAAATACAGGAAATATGTGCACAATATAAAACTTCTACTGTTATGACAGCTTTTTTGATCTTCCATTCCTGACATTTTTGTATTTTTAATACTGTGCACATATTTTCTAGTTGTCTGATGAAGTAATCATAACATTGCTAAAACAGCAGGTCTAATGGTGGCCTAAGATGTTTGCACAGTACTGTATTTATAGGCATGTACTTGCTTTCTTCCTCCTTCATTTCCCGTCTCATTTACATGTTGTATCAATGCAGTGTTTATAACTGTATACATGAGATTTTAGAATGACCTTAAATTTCTTGCATTGGTGAGATGATAAGCCCGTTTGTTTTTTTAATCTTACAAGTTTTCTCTGTTTTCAGTTTTTTAAGTGCAGTGTGTTTTTACTGAGCAAATAAACATACTTTGAGTTTGAAATGGATGGATGCTACACACACTCAGCTATATGCTATGGAAAAGTCCACAGGTCTCCCGTGTCCCTGGACTGACCGTTTGTTCTGCAGTCAGTGTAATTGTCATATGATTTAAAACTGTCAGCTGCAGAAAGGCTGTGGCAGCAGAGAAACTGAATCATTCAGCTTCTGTCTTCCTTCGCCATTTGTAGGAGCGAGCAGAGGTGCTGGTGGTCAAAGTGCTGAGCAGCTTCAAGAGCAGTGACATAGAGAAAGCTGTTGGGTCACTGGACAGAGCAGACGTGGACCTGCTGATGAAGTACATCTACAAAGGCTTTGAGAAACCTTCTGACAACAGCAGTGCTGTACTGCTGCAGTGGCATGAAAAGGTTTGTAGCTGGAAATACTAAAAGTAATACAGATTCCAAATTGAGACGTTATGGTTGAATTGTAGCAACATAGCTGTTTAGTTTTAACACTCTACTGCCTGTAGCAGTTGGAGGAGGAGGAGCTGGATATTCCAAATTGAACAAACATCACTGAAGTGCAGCTTGCGTAATAATCTTAACATTTACCTTTGTTTTTTTACTTCCAAATAACTGGGTGAGATCATGAACCAACATATTGGTCTACCTACTGTGTCAGCAAACCCGAGGGCAAGATGAAGTTGTTGACTTAAGTGTTGATGATTGTTTGCCTGCTGAGCTGTCGGCCCACCGTACACCTAAAAAGCTATTTGTTTTGATGATGTGGTGAAGTGGACTTGTATAAAACCTGTCTGACAGTGGGTCTTGCAGTGCCATTTTATATTTATCTACTATTTGTAGTCCACAAGTACAGTACATTAATGAGACCTGGGTTCTTTAATTGCAAGAGCTGCTGTACACACTGGGTTATGTGGAAATCCACAGGACTTGGGTTTTCAGGAAGCACATGTATTCACTTAAACCCTGCAGAGGCAACATCTACATATTTGTGGTCAGTTCTTAAAAAAATGTTTATTTACTTGAACATTCCATGTCATGGAATGTCATCTGTACATAAAAATGTTTTCCCCATTGCCCGTTACAGTACATTGAATGTGATTTTCACCCTGTGTGTGTGTCCTCAGGTTTTGGCAGTGGGAGGTGTGGGCTCTATAGTCCGAGTTCTGACTGCTAGGAAGACTGTCTGATCATCCAAGACCCAACAGACAGCACCTGTAAACAGACGGTAGTTTCAAGTCTGTCACCAGAGCTGATGACAGACAGGCCTCTTCTCTTTCTATTTTTGGACATGATCCCCGTTTATTTTTGTACTGGAGCTGAGCATCTTCCTGATGCAGTTCTTCTTTGTTCCTGCATTCACTATTTTCAGTTGCACATCTGGCATTTAGAAGTGCTGGCATTCAAGCAGGGAGGTGCTGGCACCTCAGACTGTCTGTCTGCCAGTCGTGCAGAAAACAGACACGGCTTCCCACTCCTTCTGATGCCTCTGCTGGCTCACTCACTGCTCCTCTTCCTCCTGCCTCCCTTCTGAAACCTCTACTGAGGAAATACAAAAGATTGTCCCTCAACTGTCAGAGACTGCTAACTGTGCAGGGTGCTTCCCTGCCCTGTGCCCAGTGCATGCTGGGATTGCATTTATTCTGAACATCTCTGTTCATTGTCTTTTTTGTACTTAAACTGATTCCACATTGCTTCTTTTTATATCATGAATAAAAGAAAAATAATGTGCTGAACCCGAATACTGACTGAGCCCATTCCTGTCTTGATATTTAATCTGAAAAATTCTTAAAAGTGCATTATGTTTATGAATGGAGTTACAGGTTAACTGTCAAAGCAGTATTTCTACAACTGGGAAATGTGGAGCAACAGTTTAAAAACTCTGAAAGTCTTAACTAGTAAGCACAATATTGTCCCAGCGCAGTTAGGAAGGACTGACCAGAGGAAGGATTTCTTCATTTGTCCTATGAGCTGTTTAACCTGCTGCAGTTTGGTACAGGAACATTTCTACTGTAGCCTGAGCTAGGCTTTCAGAATAAGAACTTCCTCCATTTTGCTCTATGTGCAGAGGGAAAAGGGGCTTTTCTGTTCCATAATCTAAGTTTTGAGTGAGTTACAGTTATAACATCACCTCTGTCACACAATAACCAGGATTCAACTGAAAGCCATAAACTACAGTACTGAATCACTGCCAAATCTTATAGTTCTGTGAACACACACATTTCATAACATTTCCTCTCCAAATGTAATCTTTTAAAAAAGCTCTTAAATAACAAAACCTCACATATTGTGTGTGTGTATATGCACCTATTTGTTTCATTTAATCCACTTTTCTCTCCAGCCAACTATTGCTCTTGTTCTTTATCCACAGCGACAGATTTAATATTACAAACGCAGTATGGAAAGGTAAAATGGTCCTATACAACACTTTTCCATGCACTGAAAGCACTTTACACTATTTCCCATTCACACTGATGACCAATTTGGGGTTCAGTGTGTTGCTCCAGGACATGTGAACTAGAGAAGCCAGGGAAAGAACCACCAAACCTACAGTGAGGGGACTACCCTGCTGGTTCAGGTGAGTTTATCATTACCACCCAGACACAGTAAAACTTTTTTTTGTTTGTTTTTATTAGTGAGAACATAAGCAACAGCACTCTGTGCCCCATGTTGAACACACAGATTCAGGTTTATTGTCCAAACAAGGATGCAGTATACACTTACACACATACAGACAGCTAACCAGACACACAAGTGCCAAATGAGACAGGAATGAAGCTGTTTTCATGGAGTTCCGTCTCGAGCAGTTGATTTACACCCCTGACACACTCCTACCAGGGCGCCTCAGCTTCTGAGACTACTCTCTTCCCTAAAACTAAAAAATATGGGAAACCCTTGAACTTGTAGTGTCCCCTGTGGTTTGAATGAGCCATTTACACTGACATTAAAGTTAACAGGATATACTGACTTGGTACATTAACATGTAGAACATGAACAACAGAAGTCAAATGTGAAACAACATTCTTGACCAGAACAACCTTTGACAAAATAGTCCTAACTCGAGATCGTTTTTTATTTTTGTTTTTTAAATACCTCAACCAATGAGCAAACTCCATATACCGTAATACATGGTTGAAAGCTCTGCAAAAAGCTGTTACGTGGACCTAGAGTTAAGAAGATTTTTGTCATGTTAACATAAATAATGTGGGTCACAAGGAGCAGTGCACATGTGAAGGCCAGTGGTAGTTGGAAGGTTGAGGAAACTGCAGCAAGTTTTCATCAAGTGAAATCAAAAACTGGCATCTCTTTGTTAATGGAGTGAAATATGTATCCAGCAATGTGACAATACTGTGCCCTGATTATCACGCTGTTGAAACCTGGTTCTTTTCGTTACTACTGTAACCACCAGCTGACACTGCCCCATGAAACAAATGCTGCCTCTGATCTCACACGCTGTACTCAGAGTTTCTTCCACAACTGATATGAGCTACTAAGGCCCCATTTCCAAATGGTGATGGAAAAACACTGATCCATTCATCCAGTCACTTATGATTAGTGTATATGCCCCCAAGTGGCCATTAGCAGCAGCCATGGCAGCGCATACAGAACACATTTAACAACATCACTTGCATCCCAATTACAATACTTCTCATCATTTAGGGAGCTTCATGCATGCAACATTTTCTGCCATGGTAAAAAAAAAAAAAGTCTCATGTTATTCCTCACACATACACTGGTGCATCACCCTGCTCACAAAGAGAAAGGCCGGTTAAACCGAGCAGCATCATGTTCAAAACACCTGGCAATGGTGGTTTATAGTTGTGCTTTGTTCAGCAGCTCTTATCAGCTTGATGATGGACCAGGCTGGGTGCAGAATAAAATAAGGTGGTTAAATATTGGGACATTTATGATTAAAAAAACGTTTGTTTCACATTCGCTCAAACACTTAAACTGTCACTATCACAATGTTTCTTGGCTTTCCCGTTGGGAAACATTCAGAGCCTGCTGTTAGCTACATGGGGAGTGAAGCAAACTCTAGTCAAACTTTTAACCAAACCCTCAGCATGTGTCTGTCCTCTGACTGAGACACAACCACAACATACTACAATGTGTTCTGTAATGTAACGCCTTAGCTGTAGATGAGGACAGGACTGGGTGTCATGTCAGCGCCCATTCTGGAAAAAGTGATGGTGAGAAAATAATCTTCTGTGACAGACAGTCGGCTTTAACTGGTGATGAAACAGTAGAGGACATACAGTACTCTGTGGTGCTGTAAAATTGCCCTCCCACCCCACCCTCTTCCAATCACACACACACGCACACACACACACACTCCTTCCTCACCATGTTACAAAAGACATTTATAAAAAGGACAAGCCAAAAGAGAGCAGCCACAGATATTAGAGGACAGTTTGTTCCTACAACAGGCAACAGATCAAGACAACAGCCGCTAGATTCTACCAGACATTCACAGCCCAAGGTTTCCAAATGAGTCTCAGTAAAGCTGGTTCTGTTACACATGTAACTGCCCCACATCATCATTCTTTTCAAACCACAGCAGTACAAACCCTGCTGGTGGCACAGCTGGAGAGCAGCTGCTAGGCGAGCCACCAGAGCGCTATTCATTAGGTGCTCTCACTATTCAAGCCTTCACCAATCTGACGACAGATGTCAAAAGAAAAAAAAGTTTAGAGAACACTAGATCAGAAACAAAGAAACTAAATAATTTGCCTGCTTCAATCTGTGCAGCTTCATACTGTATAACTAAGTAGATGCAACTGGAACTGCTTGCACTGCCCAGGTTCCGCAGTGTAAATGCACTTTTAATCTTCTAGTATTCAAACATGCAGTTTAACAGGTACTTTCTCACAGGCCCTTACACACACTGTGATAATGCCACGTCACACTGTGCCAGGTGGTTTAAATCCGTGTCTGACCTGATCTATTTACAAGAGCTAAGAATAATAATAATATTAATATGACCTAAGGGCCAGGTTACACTAGAAAAGCTATGGTTTCTTCGATGTGTTGTTTGGCACATCAGGAATCTGAGGTGTTTCTGCCTGAGGCTATCCTGAGGCCACTGGCCCTTTAATGGTGAAATGAATGGTGCTCTGTGGAATTTTCTTATAAACAAGTTATTATCAAAGGTCCTGGATGCATTTTCTTCCTCACAAAACAAAGGCAGTTTTCTAGGGTTTTAAGTCCCGAATTATTTATATCTGTGTTTCCTTAAACGCAGTCTTCTTCTTCTTCCCTGCCTTTGTCGGTGCATTGCTGTGATTTGGGCATACTGGCATCAGTTGTAAATGTGGCACCACCTGCCATGTACGAGAACTGAAATAAATCGTGCAGAGGTCAAAAGCTTGACATATAACCCTTAACTGCTACTGATTATGTAGTACTAAACATTAAAATACGTCTGAATTTATGCTGCTTGAATTCCCTTCTCGCAAATATTCAGTAGGTGGTGCAACTTTAAAAACGTCTGTTCATAAAAAGACAGAAATTTAAAGTGTCTACTATTAAAAATAAAGGTATTAAAGCTGCTCAAATTCATTGTATGTTCAGATCAAAAACCTATTTTCACTGTCAAGCTGTCTGGATTTGATTGGTGAAATACAGATGCCAACATTTGAGATGAAAAGTTTAAACACCCAAGGTACCAAAATAATGAAATGATCCTGAATCTGTCTGATCCCTCCCACTATGTCAGTCATGTGATCCGAGAAAGACAGGTCAGATTACAAACTGTTTAGACTCTAGAAGCCCAAAAGAATCTGTGAAAAAGTTTGAAAATAGCAAAACCTAAAATGATCTGAAAATGTCAGAGGGGAATTCAAACTACCTAAGTTACAATAGCTAATTTTAAGGATAAATATCCAATGCTACAAATTCAGTGAGGCTCAGGTTTTTGACTGAATACAAAGGTCTAATTATTATGGCCTGTCTTTGCTTCCCTACATGTCAGATTTATGTTACATGGGCATGCACAGTTAAAAAGCACATTCCCATGTGGTATCTTTGTGTATATGTTTATGGGCTTCCACAGTGTTGGCATCAGCTAGGTATTCTGCATTATTTCATGCTGTTTCCAGCTTGGTCAAGTTGGAGCTGTGGGTTGTAGCACAAATCCCATCTTAACAATATGGTCCACACAGGTGGCTTTGGTCTCCACCGCTCTGGTGGATGTATCTCAGTGAGTTCTAGGGCCACTGCTTTGGACCGGCAGCCAAAGAATCTCTCTGATATTGATTTGGGGCAGACCAAAATCAAGAGGCCTTTGGTGACAACCATGGTATAATACAATATATTTACTTGGAAAACCAGCACATTCCTACTTCAGACTGTGAATGGAGCCTGGTTTTTTGAGTTAGAATCCAGCAGCAGGTTACCTCAATTTCCCTGCTGGCTGCTGTATTGATCTGCTACCTTCTACTGAGAGAATGATAAAAAGAGACACAAGGATACAGAGAATATAAAACAAGGTTTTTCATTTTACAAGAGTCCTTTGGAGGGTTCCACCAACCCCTCTCGTTTCCTTCACGCATACACATTCCTCTCCTCTTGTTTCTCTGTGTGCAGGTGTAGCCAAGTCCATCTGTTTACTTCTTACTGGTGAGTGTGTATGTATTGGTGTGTGTTTTCAGGTGTCTACTTGTGTTCTTTAGTAGGGGCAAAGTAGAGCTCCATGGGTTTGTTCACCTTCCAGTACTTTTCACTGACCAGCTCCAGAGAGAAGGAACCGTTTAGAACCTGTGAATAGAGTTAACAGCTGAGACATCCAGCAGGTTTCCACTCTCGAAAATAAATCTGTTATGTTATCATCATGTCTGTGTGGTCCATCCTGGCAGAGTTGTTCTTTCTGAAGGAATAAGTAGACTGCTCTGATTTTAATCACATCCATCTAATGCACTTTAAAACCAAAACAAGTCAGAAAAGACCTTCTACTGCAGTCTGACAGTTGCCATAATTCTCTGAAATGTCCCAAACTCCATAGACAATTTTTTTTACCTTGTCTTCTTCTGTTTCAAGATTTCAAATGAAAAAAAATTCACAACCTATGTTAGTTTGTAGATGACCCCTTTACATATTCACAAATAGTTTCAAACCTGCAATGATTTAGGGAGTGACAGGGAGGATGCAGATTTGCTACATTTCTGTGACTGACCAGTGACAGTATGGAATACCTGGACTTCCACTCTTTGTGGCATGCAAAAATTAAAGCTATTACGTCTTTACACAGCAAATTATTATTGTATATCTGGATTAGTAAAAATAAGAATAAATAATGACAATTTTTTTTAACAACTATTTGTTCAGGACATTCTGAAGTAGGACAAAGGCAAAGAACACTGTGGCAATGAGCACCATAGAGAGCCGAAGTGAAACCGGAACTTCCAGGTTGTGTTCCGGAAGGAAAAAAAATATTCAACTGAAATTTCTAATCTGGCTAATAAGTAAAAATCCAGCCTTGGAACACAGCAGTTTTCAACAATATGTTGCGAGTTTCACTATATTTGCTTACACTACAGTATATCGATATATTTCTTTAAAACAACATATTACTGAAATTAACATAATATTTTGGTTTTTACCGGGCTTTAATCAAGACCATTTCCGAGAGGCCTGAGCCCATTGCAACTGAAATGTAACCAGCTGACGCCAGCTGACTGGTGGGAGAACTGCACTGAGGTCTAGAGCCAAGAGATGGCTGGAACTACGGCCCCTTTCAGACATGCATTAGAACCCTGACATTCTCTAGACTTTACCTGGGTGAGCTGTATGTGAGAATGCAGATGTCTGAGTTAGTCCACCCAGACTTTAAGTGGACTTTACCCTGGCAGCTCCCTAATACAAAGTCTGCATAATGTCCAAGTGAGCCATGTGATAAAACAGCCCCATATAGCCCGGAGCAAGTGGGCGTGCTGATGACGTTTTATCATGTGAACGGTGCAAAACCAGAAGAAAACAAACATCCAATGGTGAAGAAAAATGGTCATTTAAATGAAAACGGCAATGAAAATATCTAACTGGAGACACAACAAAATCCAGGAAGTTCTGTTTTTAACAGCCAGCGCCAGAATCGTCAGACAAATTTTAGGAACGGCAAGAGTCTCAGTCGTTTATGACCAAATTACAAACCAGCTACGTGACAGCATCATGTCGCACATCCTGCGCACTCTACACATACGTACCTCACACGCATAAACCAAATAGGGTTACTTCCAAAGGGAGAGAACGCGTCTGACAGACTATCCCCTGCTGTGTGTTACATGTGTGAAAAGGCAACTCTGGAGAAAGTCTGGACTGATTCCACAGATACAGTCCGGAGTGCATGTGTGAAAATGGCTTATTACACATTTTCTTAGGTTTTTTTTACAACTTAAAAAGTTGAGAAAGGTTAGGCTAGAAACATACAGGTAACATTGTGCTACTGTAATAAATAACAGTGATGTATAATATGTGTTCTGCTGTGCTGCAAAGAGATCATGGGAAATGCAGTTTTTCCAGTGCTAAAAAAATGATTTGTTAATGAACCTTTTTAAAAGCACAAAGGTTTCGACTTTCGGTAGCAGTGGTTAGTGGCTTGTCTTAGGATATGAAAAAGTAAATCCTGAAGAATCCAATTAGTTTTCTTACAATGACTGATGGGAAAAAAAAATCTAAGGAAGAGATTGTATAGAGTCAGTAAAGCTAGTGGAACAGAGGCTAACCAGATGTTACGACATGACTTCGGCTCTCTATAGATGAGGACCAGAATCAAAATGTCCATGCATAAAATTATCTTACTCTAAAAGTAGATTTAGTGATATGATACTTTAAGTCAAGAAAATGATAGGAAAAACAATGCCACTAATTACATATAACTGTGAGTGCAGTGATGTATTTGCTGTACAAACACTCACTGTGTGAGTGTGAGTGTGCGCGTACTCACAGTGAACTGGTTTCCAGCGGTAGGTATGTAGATGGTGTACTGTTTCTCTGAAGCTGCCTCCACATTAACAGGACTGGCCTCAGTGTTTCTCCTCAGCTCCTCCAGAGCCAATCGAACAGCCAGGTATTTAGACAGGTGATCCACAGTGGCATTACCGGATGTCTTAATGTAGCGGGGGACAAACTCCACACTGCAGACGCACACATACATTGAAACAGATGGGCACAGACACCAGAAAGGATGTGGTCATGGTTTAAGACTGATTTCTTTAGCCTACATGGACACAGCTTATAAATTCAAATGGGTGAATGCAACAAAATAATTAAAGAGTACATGGTGCTTTTCCTTGTTTTCTGACTTATCTACAATGTTACAACAGTGAATTGTCATCCTAGATGTGACCTAAAAAAATGAGGTGTACCTAGATCGTGTAGATCGCGAAGGTAGTGTCAGTAGATCGCGTGCCACTCAAAAATAAAATTAGATGTATCCGGCATAAAACACGTGTCAAATGTTAACATGCAAATGGTCAGTGTGATGATTCACTATGGTGACCCATAACAGGAAAAGCAGAAAGTGCCAATCATTCATATATAACCTATCATCCATCCTCCCTATGGCATTTGCTACTTGATTGACATGCAGGGCAGCCAGTCTGAGATCTCGTCTTTTCTGACACACGAGTCACCAAACATGCACAGTCAACAGCACGAGCTACTGCAAAACTCCAGTGAGCGAACCAGCTTGTCACCCTTCAAATTAATTTCTACTAAAGGATATAAAATGAGTGGGGGGGTCGAATCAAGTAAGAAACCGGCAATGTACCGAAAACATTCCATGCGAAATGGGAGGACTTTTTTTTCGCGACGTTATATTCGAAGTGCGTTTGCTTGATCTACCATCTACCATCACTATTCCAAAGAAGGGAAATGTGGAGCGGCACTTTCAGACTGTTCATTAAAACTACGACACTCATTCATACATTTATTTTGTGTGTGTTTGTGTAGGTCGATCATTTTGACTTCGTCATTTGAAAAGTAGCTCGCAAGGCGAAAAAGTGTGGGCACCCCTGGTCTATGTTTTCCCTCCTGCTGCTGCACTGTGATGTGAGGATGTGGAGAAAAATACAGGGCCTGAGTTTACTGCATGTCCGGGAATGTTCCTATACAGGGACTCGTTGTTTTACCTGACCGGGTCTAACCTGGCAGCTGGCCAGTGAAGCCCCCGTTGCGGTTAGTGATCAGCTCATCAATGCTGGATTCCCCTGGAGCATAGTACCTGTTGTCCTGACTGCTTGAGGCCAGTGTGTCTGCAGCATGTGATGTGTCGCTGGTTAATGATCCATGATGTTATTGTCAGTGCTACACTACTTGTTGGAATTAATTTCACTGCTTTGGGACTGTATGTGGTCATGTGGAGGAAGACGCAGCGACCACTGGTTTGATTTACCGACCGTAGAACTAGAAAGGAAGTGGTGTTTCCACTGCTCGGTGGGACTTAACGGCAAGTAAAAAAAAAAAAAAAACACGTTGCATGTCTGTTAATGCCTTGTTTCTGTAACATTAGAGAGAACTGTTGTAAGGCTGGAGAAGTTACTATGTCTGCATTATGCCAGTTAAAGTATAGGGTTTCTCAATACCTGCTTTGTTTAGAGTGTTACACATCATCGGTAAATACTGTATGCCATTGTTTACCTATCTATGGAGGACAAATTCATATTAATTAATGCCGTCAAGGTTCTTTGTGCTGTCCACTTTCGACACAACACTAGCAGCAGGAGGGGTTAATATATAAATTAATTAAACCTACAATTAAAATGTTGTTTTGTTGGTACAAATGTATTCAAGCACAGGTAAGGCTCTAGTTTTGCTTTAAAAAGTGTCAATTTTGCATCAGTACTAGAAATACAAAAAATAAAAAAATGACAAAAAAAATCTAAATAATGCTCATTCCTCATCTTCAAGCTGTGTTTGTGGGTGACACTACCTGTTATGACCGTCATCCTTCTCCATCAGGGTGGGATGCGGCCTAAACACCAGTTCTATTTCACTTGCCCCGCCATCAATCACAGAGTCCCCACCCCCATTCTCAGCAGCATTATCCATGTCCAAACCGCTATCATCACTTGTCTTGGTGCGCTTGATGCTTGGACCTGCCTCCTGGGAAAACAGATTAAAATACATTGATGAGAAAACTTCAGTCAATGTATAATGTATAGTAATGTATATGTTTCATAGTAACAATTATGAACAAACACAATCTATTTTAACTAGTGACACAAATTATTGTAATATTCTAGTCAAACATCCATAGTCTATGTTCTGTTTTGAGATTCATGACCCTCTACTGACACCTACTTCCACAACAGGAATATAGCACATTCAAGGTACAAGGGTTGCTCAGAGAGAAAAACTGTCTGCACTGTAAATAGAGATGATTTAGCTCAGTGGCTACTTTCACACAGAATCACTGGAGCTGGTTAACATCCCTGTTCATAACTCTACTATACAAACATCACAGTGCATGGACGCAAAGAGCATGGTTTCCAAAAAAAAACCCATCACTTCTCACCCGAAGGTTGCAACACTACTGAGAATGTTTTGGGCACTGATAAAATATTGTTGGGGAGAACAGGTATCCTATGCATTTTACACAAAGGCCACTGCACACTGACGTGAGAAGGCCAACCCAGGAGTGAGGTACGGTGCAGGGAGCATCATGAATTGCGGCTCCTTTGCTGCCTTTGGGCCTGGACAGCAGCCATCATCAAGGGGAAAATGAATTCCCAAACTTATCCAGGTATCTTTCAGAATAATGTCAGAATGAGTTCAAAAAACAGCAAATCCACAATCTGGAGTGTCCCAGCCAGAGCCCAGACCTCGACCTAACAGAGATGCCACGAAATAGCCTCAGAGAGAACAGGTCTGACCTGAAACAGTTCAATAAGCAAAAACAGGGTCAACTTGTTATAGAAAACTTGTTATTCACTCACTTTTTCCACCAGCACTGTTTAAAGGGTGTGTTCAGTAAAGGCATGAAAAATTATAATTCTCTGTGTATTAGCAGCTTAAGCATATTATGTTTTTCTATATTAATGATTTAGGCTATGTTCCAATCTTTTTGTCTGATCTGCTCTTTCTGTGTTGATGGTTAACATTCATGTTTGTAACTGACATGTATCCAGTTCTGACTGAACACCGTTGAGGTCCTTAACTGTGACGCATGCACAAATTTAAGTGAGATGTGAGCCCTGTAAGTACAAAAATAACTAGACTTAACTGCTTTGCGGCTGTATGCCTCTGCCAACAAGTCAAATGGGACAGACATGAGGTCACTGACCTTGACCTCTGATCACCAAAATCTAATAAGTTCATCTTTGAGTCCAAGTGAATGTTTGTGTAAAATTTGAAAAAAATTCCCTCAAGTTGTTCCAGACATACTATGTCCAAAAGAATAGGCTGGATGGACAGACAACCCAAACACATAATGCCTCCAGCCACAGCATAACAACAATGTCAAATGTGTAACAATCAAATCAAATATTTTCCTCAAAAACTGCTTGACAGCTACACGTTCCTTCCAGTTTGGCAAGAACAGAAGCTCGTCCATAAATGTCAAACCAATATGAAACATCCTTGTGTCTCCACTGACCCCAGTCGCTGTTGTTGCTCCCCTCCATGTTTATGTTTAGTGGTCTCTGAGGGGCCAACACTGATGATAATGACAGGCGATATGTGCAGAGGAGTGAGATGTCAAAACAAACAAACAAACAAAAAAAAACATGAATTCTGATCTGACCATCATGGCAGCACTCACATAGTTAGAGATCAGATCTAGAACCACATATGCAAGTGGCCCGTATCTGAGCTGGGGGGGGAAAAAAAAAAATCTGATCTTGTTGGGAATCAGATTTTTATGAGCATGTACTGCAGAAGATGTTACATTTGTATGCCAAGTTGTTCCTGGATGTTATAAATACGGTGCTGAACCAACCAGGCTCCATGCCACAACCACTACACCCAGTGCCACTGAATATTTTCACTGGTCATCACATTGCAGCTGATTCCCAGCTGTATTTGTGGCACTTGCTTTGTTTAGTGTGTGTATATGATAACATACCTGGTTGCTGTGGACAGAAGCGTTGCTACAGTGGGAGGAGTCCCCGTTGTCCTCAGCTCCGCTACCATTTTCCACTGTGTGTCTCTTGCCACGCTGCAGTCTAACAAAAACACATGCAAATTCAACTTCATGGTGTACATATGCATTATTTGTGTGTATCAGTACCGGTGTGTTTACCTGGTCATGGCCTGTATCTTCAGCCCCTCCTCTATGCTGTGGGACAGGGCTTGCTGGTTGTTGTGTTTGCTGATGCGGGCCAACACTCTCTCCTGGTGGGCTTCGTACTCGTCACGGCTGGGATAAATCTTACCTAAAATTGAAGAAATTAATGCATAGAAAGGTCAAAAAATTTTTTTTACAAGTACTTACACAGAACTAAATGTACTATTGTCCCAAAAGGCAATTTTGAGCTTCAGAGCTTCACTACTAACAAGCGGTAAAAATCTGAATATTCAATGCAGCTAAAAGTACCTCTTTGCCCATCTGGCAGTACTTTGGATAAAAAAAATAAATAAATAAACAAAAAAGTTCCTGGGTAATCTAATGTAAAAGGTGACAGATAATGGATCTTCATAGTGTACACCATCCCGCAGAATGTGCTACATTTCCATCATTGATATGCGATGGACTGACAGTTTTACCTGTGAAGATGTTGCAGTCAGTTCACTCTAATCATTCAGTGATGTTACATAGTGCTGCCTCTTTACCTCATAAATGACCTTTCGCTGTGTTCTCTTTCCTCTTCATCACTGGACTCAGACTTAACTGAAATTTCATGCTGTCTCGAATATTCGAATACTAAAATTGAAAACTGATCACTTACCCAACAAACAAATATCCAAATAGTCGAATATCTGGGTCCAGCTCAGACTAAAATGTGACAATTATTAATTCAGTAATTAAAGCTCCCTGAACTGTCGAGTGGTTACTTACTAATCAGAGCATCAAAATTGGGGTCTGGACGCAGCGACCTCTTGGACACCAGCTTCTTACGACAGGTAGGACACTCTTTATTTCTACAAAAACAGGAAGAACACAGACATTGTCAGCTAAAACAATAGTGCTAATGTAACAACATGGACTGCTATCATTAAGACTACAGTATGCAACTTTTTACCAACACTTTAAATTGAAATATGTCCCAAAGCCCATTATAATGCAGAGAGGTTCTGTCAAAGGTTACTGTGATCCAGACACACTACACAGCCTGGCAGCAGTGCAGTATTAAGTGAGACAGTGATGAAGAGCTAGGGCAAGGGCTGGGTGGAGCATAACAGAGGGAGTTGGTGGGAGGAGCGCAGTAGTTTGCTTTTGAGACTGATGCTAGCGCTAGCTTGGTTTTTAGAGCTTGCATTTCTAGCCTTACGTCAATATGTTTTATTTGAAAAGATCCCGTGAGAAATGTCTTGATATTTACTCAGTCTTTTAGAGGAGTTAAGGTAAAAAAAAACTAATTAGAACAAATGAAAGGAGCCATGACTTGCTTTTCTTTTTTATTTTTATGACACCTACTGTATGACACACACGATAGCAATGATTAATATCAGTAGCTAAGAATACACACAAAGTTAAGTAGGTTGAAATGTCTATCTTATATAAACCCTGATATAGAATTTAAACAGAAAAGGTTCACATTTTCACTCTGTCGTAAAATAATATTCATATGCCTATATGTAGATCAAGAGCCACTGGTTGCTGTAAATACATGAGAGAGTAATGGGGGGACTAATCCACAGTCATGGTGGGTTTTATCTCCTATTATTTACATTGACAGCACTTTAACAAGAGATCTCTGTGGCCAAAATGGACAATACCACAAATGACTTGGTCATCATTTGACACTGTCACTGCTGTAGACGTAACGTTGACATCAACAACAACATAACCGACCACTTTGCTTTGTTCTCCCACCTCCTTTACAACACACACCAGCTACCAAAAACCAGCAGTGGAAGAAGCAGCCTACTCAGACTACTTACTGAAGTAAAAGTAGCTGTGCCACAATCTTAGTCTAAAAGTAGATTTATTAGCTGGTGTGCCCACACTGGGGAGGGATAGACAGTAACCTGGTGACCCCAACAGGGACAGAGTGCCCTCTCCTGGTTTCTGCTACAACGTTAAAAACTCACCCAGATCTCAAAGCTGTAATAATACAATCAGCGCAGAAGCGGTGCAGACATTCTTTGGTTGTCATTGTGTTCTTCAGCATGTCCAGACAGATAGGACACATTAGTTCGCTGTGCAAGGACCTGGGCGACACTGCTATCTCCAGTCCATCCGTTATAGCCTCCTGTGCCAGTTGGAAACAGATCGAGAAGCATGTTAGTACACACACACCAATACATCAATCTATGGAGTGGTACGCTTTGACACAGTACAGTTTACAGGTCTGATTGATGTTTTTAGCTGCTAAAATCTCATGACCACAACAACTGAAAACTCATTATTTAGAACATTTTGAACCTCAGTGTTCTATTTTCAGGAGCTTGGTGGAGCAGTTAAATATACAATCAAATGATATGACTTGATTATGTGCTTTAGGAACATGTCATATACTTTAGGTTTGTGATATATTCCTCAGAGAAACACTGTTACACATTAACCACTGCTTCCCAATTCTCAGCATGGTGATGGCATATAAACAGAGACTGATGTATACTGTGCATAAGACAGTGCCGTTGAGGAAACACATCAACGTGTTGTGTGATTGATAAAATCTGTTCAAAAAACAAACAGCAAAATGCTTCTAAAAAAATCCTTTATGTGTATGGCGTGGTTTGCATTGTTACCTGTGGAGTTCTCTGTAGCTCATACAGACTCAGTTCCCAGGTCTTACTGAGGGGCTGGACCCCATTGGTCTGAACTGTCTGAGTCATCACTGCGACACTAAAACACAAACACATTGCTTGGAAATCCAGAATGGAAGGATGATTTCTGGTTATGATTACTAGTAGGAATTTTGGTTGAAAATAAATGGTAAATGGGTGAACTCTATACTTTGAACTCTCTTCTCTTTTTAGGGTTTCTCATGCTTTGCATGTCCACATTTCAGCAATGGTCGAGCGACATAGCTTTGATCATCTTCCCAGGTCTGCATTGAATCTGTATGTCTAGCCCTAAACAAAATGCTTTACAATTTGTCTATCATTTACACTCAACTGGGATTTAGTGCCTCACTCAAGGACACCTTACATATGTACATAAGGGATGGAACCCTGAAATTAGCAAACAATCCACTCTACCTCCTGAATTTATCCACCTCAAAACATTTTCACAGACAGAGCAGTGACAGATGACTGGCCAACCTTGGTAAACACCCTTTTGTAAAGGTGCCCCATTTAAAAAAGTCTAAGGTTTTCACCTCATTGTCTTTTTATACAATGGTAACCTTATTTTATTAACCTTGTACATTTCATAAACCAAAACTTTAAAACAAATACATGTGAATGTACAGAAGTTTGCATAATAATGTATCAAGCATGTGTTTCATAACACATGCTTCACAACATTGCTGTGAATATAAAAACATTTTTTGACAGACCATATGTTCACAACATTGTTGTTTTATCTATTTCTCATTAAGATTGGATTTTCAACTGTGCACATATACTTTTCAAGTAGCTTTATTTTTATTGAGCTTAATAAATGGGGTGAGACACGCTCACACCTTGCTGTGTCTTATTTTAGAGATGGACACCTCTTATACTGACAGAGAAGACGGATGACATCAGAGTAGCTGAATCTGACAGCCGTGTTGTTTATCGTGGCTCCTCATGAGCATTTGTAACCTGTACACATTCAGTAATTCTGATCCACATTATGTCATTTTAGAGTGGGGCTACCTTTCTAATTTGTTAATTCATATTTGACCCCTTATGCAGTTGCCATGCTTTAAAAACACACAATTGTTTACTGATCTGGGAGAAAAATTACAAATACCATCACAAGAGGATGACCAAACATTTAACAACAACCTACTTTCCTATCTGGCTCACTACTCGGATATTACAGGAGGTTGCTGTTAAAATCATGCCTATGTCACTAGTTTACATTAAGCAACTATTTATTTATTTATTTATTGATTGATTGATTGGTTTTGTCTGCCTTCAGCATCCAAGCTGATTTACTAAGAAAATGGCAACAACTGAAAGAATAAGACATCAAAAGAGGAATTTTCATATCAAAATCCTACAAGAAAAAGCATTTAGGCCATGATTCTGATGGCAAAATTTAACTCAAATCTTAAAAGGTTCTTGACCATTTTACAGCATTGTCCACTTGGCAGTATTTTTCCCCAGGAAGAAATATGGCTCTTCTTGAGACTCAGTTAAATCATGAAGAGCTAGAAAGTGAGTGTTCCTAATGAAAGAGTCTGGTCTTAAATACATAACCAAAATATCTTTTTGGCCCCATGGGCTACAGCCTTTACAAAAGACAGACATTCAAGTAAACCTGCATATCAATTTTTCACATCCGCTCTCTGATTGCTGCTTTTATGTGGCAATACCGCCATAGGCTACAGGAGACAAATGAGGTGAAAGTGTGGATGATCCAGATTAAAGACACTGGGTGGCTCAAGCAAACCAGTTTATCTTTTTCTCACATCATCTGAAGAATGCCCATTAAAACAGCACGAAACTCGAGACGTCTTGATTGCAATTTGTACCTTCTCTACACCGCAATCATCAATTTATGTCAATAAACAAAGCCCAACGTGTTATAATTAAATTGGATACAGGTTTGGTGGCTTTAAGCATTTGTGTCTGCTTGCACAAAAAATGAGGATACGCTGATATATGAGTCAACCCATCTGATCGGTAGTGACTAATCAGCTGCAATACCTCGTGAACATATTTTATTAAAATCAAAGGGGCTCGGCTAATGCTAACTACCTACCACAGATGCTAGCTATTCTTTGGAACGATAACGTTACCATTAGTGAGAAAATGAGCTTAAGATACGGCATTTAGCCACCACAGGGCAAACCATGTACAGGCACTATAACCTGTTTATATGACTCAATATAAATATTCCAGCTAATTATACAAAAGCGAATATCTAAAATATTGAGAGGGGTCGTGAATGCAATTTGTCGCTGTGACAGAGGGAAAACAACAACAGAGAAAGAGCCGACGCACCAGTATCCTGAGGTCATCTGAATGCTTTTCAACCGTATTTCCAACATTTTAACAATAGAACACTCGTATATAAACGGGCAGTGATACATAAATACAGTCCTGAAAGCCAAATATTCTCAGATAGCATGAAATACGTTTGTTTCTGTACTTACATTTTCAGTTGTGGATACGAACCGATCCAGCCAGCGCGTTTAGACGAAGGCAATATGGCGGATCCACAACGAGCAATGTAGTCTGGGAAATCGAGGCACTCTGTGAAGGGGCCTGGAGTCCCAAATCAGACTGGCTGGAGGAGCACCATAAGACGGTGCATACTTCTCCATCAACTTTGCATCTAAAATTATAATATTTGAAAATAAAAAACACATTCATCGTCCTGCTATATGCTATTTCATAAATGCATAGCCTATCTTGATAATGACAAGCAAGAAGACAGACGTAAGTAAGTAAGCCTAGACTCAAGACTCAGTGTTTATTGTCATGTGCACAGTGAGGAAACATGTTTCTCTGTACAATGAAATTCTTACTTTGCTGTCCACAATGAATACCAAACAATACAAGGTGAAATATAAGGTAGATAAATAGTACACAAAATCTAAAGGCACTTAAAAACAGCAAGTGGAAACACATGTAATAAAAAACTATAAAGAATATAATAAAAAGAAAATGTATGCTACATCGGAGCTGGATGTGCAATAGGCGGCAGTGAGAGTGCAGTTATGCATGTGCAGATGTACATGTGCAAACTTGGAATGTAAACAGTACAGGTGGAATTACATGAAGTAAGTCCTGATTGTATACTCCTGTCCGCTGTTTAGGAGTCTGATGGCAGTTACCTCAAGTATATTTTATGCTAATATTTTAGAACTATGTTTACACTAATATTATTACTTTTACTTTAATAAATGATCTGAGTCTGTCAAACACAGCAAACAGATCCAAATGGCTTTATGGCCTAAAGAGGGGCATTTCGCAAATCAAAATTAATAAAAAAAAAAGTGAGGTAGAGAAAAGGGAAGTAGCTTTTTGTACGTGTGTGGAGTCTTTTCCCTCCTTGTATCCATTTCCATGGCCCACCCTGTAGTTTATAGTAAAGTAGGAAAGTACTAAGTATGTACTCATGCATGTTGTTACTTGTACTGTTATGTTTTATCTAACTTGCATTGCTTTATCTATATACTATATGCTTTTAATGTTTTATCAATCTATGAGCATTGCGTTATGCACTTTGAATTGTCATTATGTATGAAAATGTGCTATATGAATAAACTTGCCTTGCCATGACTAAAGGAAAGGGTCAGATCACATTTGTATTTATAACTATTACAAATGGGTTTTAGCTGTTCTCTTCTTGTGGACAGAGGAATAAGTACGTCAGTGGGACAAATCTATGGCTCAGGTACTTGAGGATGTGTTTCAGGACACAGTGGTACTATTGTTATTTCTGGTCTCTTGTACTGTTCTCCAAAACATCTGAATCATACTTAGACTGTTTATATGTAGACTGGAGACCAAAATAGAATAAAATATCTTTGTTTGTTTTACAGGTAAACTGGAGGCAGAAGATGTCAGTATAGCTCAGCTTGCCTTCACATGTTAACATGAGACTGATGATGTGTCTTACGCACTCTTCGTGTACAGGTGAAACCCTCTTTTTTGACAGGAAGACTGGAGATAGAATGTCTAAATATTAATCACCTTTTATTCACATGTAAACATGACACAAGTCTCTTAAAACTCTGATTGGCTTAGGGAGTCGGAGCATTTGGCACAATTGAGAGACATAATTCATTTGAGAAACACACTGAACGCCTAAGTGAAGGAGAACAAAATTTTTTCACACAGTTAGTTAAGGCAGTGTGCAGCCAGAACCCTTTAATATAGAACCCTTGGGAGCGGACTTGATTGGGTGGTCAGGTGTCTGCCCTTTGGGAGTGCGCCCTCTGCGGTGGGAAGGGGGCACCCAGCTCAGCCAACCAGACCAGCCAACCAACCGTTCACGTCGCAGCCGCGCTGTCAAAGACGGGCATCAAAGGACCACGCACTTTTTAAGCTTTATAGCCTATTTAAGTTTTTTAAACAATAAGTCGTGTATATATACACACACACACATATAGACATATATGTATTATATATTTCAAGTTATAGCAAAAACAGCCATTTTATGTGACATATATTTCTATACAGTTAGACATACAGTGCCTTGCGAAAGTATTCGGCCCCCTTGAACTTTGCGACCTTTTGCCACATTTCAGGCTTCAAACATAAAGATATAAAACTGTAAGTTGTTGTGAAGAATCAACAACAAGTGGGACACAATCATGAAGTGGAACGAAATTTATTGGATATTTCAAACTTTTTTAACAAATAAAAAACTGAAAAATTGGGCGTGCAAAATTATTCAGCCCCCTTAAGTTAATACTTTGTAGCGCCACCTTTTGCTGCGATTACAGCTGTAAGTCACTTGGGGTATGTCTCTATCAGTTTTGCACATCGAGAGACTGAAATTTTTGCCCATGCCTCCTTGCAAAACAGCTCGAGCTCAGTGAGGTTGGATGGAGAGCATTTGTGAACAGCAGTTTTCAGTTCTTTCCACAGATTCTCGATTGGATTCAGGTCTGGACTTTGACTTGGCCATTCTAACACCTGGATATGTTTATTTGGGAACCATTCCATTGTAGATTTTGCTTTATGTTTTGGATCAGTGTCTTGTTGGAAGACAAATCTCCGCCCCAGTCTCAGGTCTTTTGCAGACTCCATCAGGTTTCCTTCCAGAATGGTCCTGTATTTGGCTCCATCCATCTTCCCACCAATTTTAACCATCTTCCCTGTCCCTGCTGAAGAAAAGCAGGCCCAAACCAGGATGCTGCCACCACCATGTTTGACAATGGGGATGGTGTGTTCAGGGTGATGAGCTGTGTTGCTTTTACGCCAAACATAACGTTTTGCATTGTTGCCAAAAAGTTCGATTTTGGTTTCATCTGACCAGAGCACCTTCTTCCACATGTTTGGTGTGTCTCCCAGGTGGCTTGTGGCAAACTTTAAACGACACTTTTTATGGATATCTTTAAGAAATGGCTTTCTTCTTGCCACTCTTCCATAAAGGCCAGATTTGTGCAGTATACGACTGATTGTTGTCCTATGGACAGAGTCTCCCACCTCAGCTGTAGATCTCTGCAGTTCATCCAGAGTGATCATGGGCCTCTTGGCTGCATCTCTGATCAGTCTTCTCCTTGTATGAGCTGAAAGTTTAGAGGGACGGCCAGGTCTTGGTAGATTTGCAGTGGTCTGATACTCCTTCCATTTCAATATTATCGCTTGCACAGTGCTCCTTGGGATGTTTAAAGCTTGGGAAATCTTTTTGTATCCAAATCCGGCTTTAAACTTCTCCACAACAGTATCTCTCTCTCGATGTGCAAAACTGATAGAGACATACCCCAAGCGACTTACAGCTGTAATCGCAGCAAAAGGTGGCGCTACAAAGTATTAACTTAAGGGGGCTGAATAATTTTGCACGGCCAATTTTTCAGTTTTTTATTTGTTAAAAACGTTTGAAATATCCAATAAATTTCGTTCCACTTCATGGTTGTGTCCCACTTGTTGTTGATTCTTCACAAAAAATTACAGTTTTATATCTTTATGTTTGAAGCCTGAAATGTGGCAAAAGGTCGCAAAGTTCAAGGGGGCCGAATACTTTCGCAAGGCACTGTATTTAATATGCATAAATGCTCATACATTGACTGAGTGTGTGCTATTTGGAGACTTGGTGAACTTATATTCTTTTGACCAGGTTCAGGGCCCTCTAGCTCGACATCTGAAGTCGACTGTAAAAAACATAGGGGTGATGTTTGATGGCGACTTAGATTTGACAATCAATTCAACTCACTTGTGAAATCTAGCTTCTTCCACCTTAGGTTGTTAAGTAAAGTCAAGTCATTCCTTTCATTTAATGATTTTGAGACTGCAATTCTTAGAAAAATTTAACATAGTGAGGCAAAGGAAAACTGAGACTTTTGAAAATTATCAGGGCATCTTTAATTATTCTTGCAAGAAGAAGCACACAACAGCTACTCAAGGGTGTCTCTGCAGTAAGCTCAAAGGAGTGAAACTCCTCAAGAGCTACTTATACTATTCATTGCAGGTTTATTGCTCTTTGTTCTGCCAGGCAAATATTTGTCCCCTCCAGTCCTGGGGGTCAGGTCCCCATGTGTGTTTTCTTGTCAGGAGATTGCCTATCTAAGAGCAATAAACTTTACAAGCAGTTTCCTGAGTTCTTTAAGCTAAAGAGCATGCTTTTACAATGACTGCACATTTGCTCAGAGTAAACATTAGTTACACACAAGAAAGAAAGCTATGTCCAGCATTTTTCCATCAGCAATCTATGCTTTTATCACTTTTACCTGCACAATCAAATAAAATATAACCCTACTGTGTGGCCCCACTGACTCTATAAATGACTGACAGCTCTCAGAAATGACGCCACTGCAAGTCGATCACCCCCTAGTGGCTGGTTGCAGTATAGGTCATTAATCTCACCACCTCCATGTTAGTGGATGGAACATGAGCCAAACTAAAAACTCAAACTATAAATCAAATACATTTTTCCCGGAGCTCATGTCTGTTGTTCGTGTGACGCAGGCAGTTGTAAGATGAAAGACCCTGAACCCACCAGGCCTATACATTATATCCCCTCGGTGGGGCTAGCCCCATACTACACAGAAACGTCAACCGAGACGTCTCTGTTACCAGCTTTGCAGC